CACACGTCTCTGTGTCTTTAGTGGGTGCTTGTTGGTGCTAGATGATTCTGCACAGAAAGAAATACCATTGAAAAAGCATGGGGATATCATAATAAAACCTAAAACAGCATTAGTTAAATAGCCAGGTGTTTGAAATCACTTGTAAAGGTATCGAAAAGCTAATTTTTCTAAAGTATCAGCTAAAAGGTTCTGTTCTTTAGTGACTTTTAGATTAATAATAAAATATTAATAATATATCATAATTTAGTATCATGTTTTATGCACTACATACTTCTAGATAGACTGGCTAAGTGATAACACACCCTAGTGAATATTATAATATTAACATCATATTATAATACTAAGTTTAGTACCATGTTTTTCTTCAGATACCATGACTATCTACTTGACATCCAGCTTTATTTTCTGTGCAGAGTGTCTTGCTCAACGCACAACTCATGGGCGTGGCTGGGGGCGGGGCGGAAGTGCCGCCATATTGTGTTGAGGAACGACACGAAAAAACAACACAAATGGGTCCGCCCTCGAGGCAAGTGACAGGCTTTCTGTCACCCAACCACTCAGATCCTGATCCTGGCCCCTTCTCCTCCCTGCGCCTCTGGGTGGCACACATGTGTCGGAAGATGCAAATTTAAATTCCTGTCGCCGACAGGGTTTCAAAAGTTGAGGTCGTGCTGGAGGTGGGGGTTAAAGCCGGATTTCTCTGGGAACCACTATGTACGACAGCCAGAACTTATTAGTTTGGGTCGGGGCAGGGATAACTGACTGCCTGGACCTGGACGCAAATGAATAAATAAGTGCGCAGCTTTGGTAACTTTCGAAACAATCCAATCGACTTGATGGCCCCAGCAGCTTAAGTTGAAGTCCCAGGAGGAGCGGGAAGTTCGAGGTCAGCCGCTGAAACTTTCCAAGATACTGTGGCATACTTTCGGGCCGAGCTTGTTTTACTTAGTGGGGTATCGCACTGAAGACCCCTTTTTTAACCCCTGATGAATTAATTGGGCGGGCCGGTCAAGTGGGAATCGAAACTCTTGACTTTAAATAAGTGTTTCACTAACCCGCTGTTTGTTTATTCATGTTATCATAGGCCCTTTCAGTGAGAGGACCCACTTTGATGTTCTTTAGTTAAGCGTTGTGGGCGATATATTAAAGTATTCAGAGTTAGGGAATTATTAGGGGTAGTATAAATTGTATAAATTTTTATATTTTATCGGTTTAAAGTGCGAAACCTTTCATTGCTTTATTTGCGAGGAGGTTTAAATTTGACTTTTGTAATTAAACCCAATTCTTTTTGACTTATTTAGGGAACATAGAGAGCGCCCTGACCATGACCAATGAGCTGCTCCAATTGCTTCCCCACCACGAGCGGGCCAATGGGAACAAGCGGTTCTACGAGAAGGAGATTGCCAACCAGCTGAACCTGAAGAAGATGAAGGGCGATGATGGCACCGACGAGATGCCCAAGTCGGACTTGGTAAGATATATATATTTTTGGAAAATAAAGAAATATATCACCTAAAGACCCCCTACCCCAAACCCAGCCTGTGGCCAAAAGCGATCCGGCCATTTTCGACTTGACAGAACGCAGGGCCTACGAGATGTTGTGCCGGGGTGAACTGAAGCCATCTCCCTCGGATCTCAGGCCCCTGCGATGTCGGTATGTGACCAACAATGTACCCTTCCTGCGACTGGGTCCCCTGAAACTGGAGGAGGCCCACATGGAGCCGTACATAGTGATCTATCACGATGCCATGTACGATGGCGAAATGGACGTGATCAAGCGGATGGCACGACCCCGGTTCCGCAGGGCTACGGTCCAAAATTCCGTGACCGGAGCATTGGAGACCGCGAACTACAGGATCAGCAAGTCGGCCTGGTTGAAGACCCATGAGGATCGGGTGATCGAGACTGTGGTGCAGCGCACGGCGGATATGACTGGTCTGGACATGGACTCCGCCGAGGAACTGCAGGTGGTCAACTACGGCATCGGAGGACACTACGAACCGCACTTTGACTTTGCCAGGGTGGGTACTTCCCCGGGGAATAAACTATTTTTATCCAGCTAAAACGGAAATCTTTTCAGAAAGAGGAACAGCGAGCCTTTGAGGGTCTTAATCTGGGCAACCGCATTGCCACCGTTTTGTTCTACGTAAGTTGTTTTCATGTTATCTACCTACCCCTTCTTATTTTAATAAAATAATCCGATACACATGCAAGTTATTTTTCCGCACGCGCACATCCTACTCAACTGTTAAAATATAATTCCGTGAATTTTTTGCTTTATTTGCGCAAGCCAACAGAATCATTAGTAGGGCTTATTTATAAATAGAGTTGCGTAGGTTGCAATGCGACTGAATAGAACGCCATGGCAAAAGGAACGCACAATGACAGAAAAATAGATACAAAACATAAAGCAGCCTTGCAAATGTGGTTTTCTGGTATCTGTGGGGTGCTTTTTATTGTTGGTCAATGGTCAATAGAGGGCTTGCAAAATAATTGGTCTTACAAAATAGTATATTTTATTTAGTGCAATATGTAATATGTATCCTTAATATCTCTCTTTGACCTCCAACCTTTAGATGAGTGACGTGGAGCAGGGAGGAGCCACAGTTTTCACATCCCTCCACACCGCTCTATTTCCCAAGAGGGGCACGGCTGCCTTCTGGATGAATCTCCATAGGGATGGAGAGGGCGATGTGAGGACTCGTCATGCCGCCTGTCCCGTACTTACAGGCACCAAGTGGGGTATGTGCTCTGCCATTAATAAGATATCATACCATACTATATATTTCGTTTCTCACAACCCAGTGTCCAACAAGTGGATCCACGAACGGGGCCAGGAGTTCCGCAGACCCTGCGCCTTGGACGAGGATCACGGCGAGTTCGCCATCTAAGCCGGAGTCCAGTTAGCGAATGCAACGAATCTCAAGAGCGGAGTGTTATCCTTCGCCCTCGGCCACCGACTTCCTATTGTACATAAAGCATTCAGCCCGAAGAAGGTCGCATCTGTTCTACTTACCGGTTCTGCTTTTGGAACCCACTTCTACTTCTACCTAGCCGTATCTTAGACTCGTATGGAATTTATCTACTTTTGTATATTTGCCTAGATTAAGTAGTGAAAAAATTGCAATAAAATCGAAATTCAAAGCAAGTTAATGGTATTTTGGGAGGATTGTGCATATTATATTTTATATAAGGGAAGTCGGGAATGAATAAATGGACTTATTTGTTTGCTATATTACAAAATAGGAATATGAAAGCTTAGCTATAATAGAGAGTAGGTAAGATAAAAACAAAAATGATTGTATTGATTTTTGTAGTTTTTAAAGGCCAAACAACACATACTTACTTTTACCCATGATAATGAAGGTATACAATTTCGTTTCTAGGTTAAACTGTAGGTATCCAACTAAATAAATATACCTACATTTTTTTTGTTTCTATCTTGATAAAATGGTATTAAATCCAACTAAATTTAAGTACCACTTACCCATTTTAAATTGCGAGAAAGTGGCGGGGAAATGTGAAATTTAAAGGGCACCCTGATCCGGGTCTGATGTTCGATTAGTGGGTGGCGATTCATCACCGGAGGACTCATCCGCCAAGTGCGGTAAGTGGAGCTCCGATACGAGGGCGTGTCTGTATGGGTGAGAGGATACAAATCGGCTTATCCTTGCAGCATCTGCCGCATTGCGTTGCATACTTTGCGGCACTCCGGGAAATTCAATCGAATTTGGTCTGAAATGCGAAAAGTGCAAGCCAGGTGAAAAATCGCCAGCATTATTTCAGTGGCCAGAATCAAAGAGCAGGCATTGGAAAAATTCAATAACAACCAAATTTAATTAAAGAATGAAGAGCATTAATATTCCATTTAATCCATTCAAAGGACCTCGCCACATCTTAAGTAGCAACATTTATGTTACTGAAAAATCTTGATAGCTGGAGTGCTGTACTTTAATATATTGTATAAGAAATGGTCGGAACAACATTCCGATTTTTGCCTGCGCGTAATAGTAAAAACTTTCCCAAGTTATGCTGAATGAGGAACGAAAGTATTGAATGAAAAGTGTTATCAGCTCAATGTGTCCCACGGTTGTTCTGATTTCTGGTATATATTCCTTATCACAACGAATAATAGGTAATTTATAACAGTTCTTAGCCGGTTCGTAGGGTACATTACCATCGGAAAAATTCAATAACAACGTAATTTAATTAAAGAAGGAAGAATAATAATATTACATTTTAACCATTTAAAGGATCTCCCCACAGCTTTAGTAGCAACAATATATTTCTGGAAACATTTTGATAGCTGGAGTGTTCCTACCTTAATATATTATATAAGAAGTGGCAGGAACAATGTTCCTATTTTTTGCTTGCGTAATAGTAAAAACTTTCCGAAATATTGCTGAATGATGAACGAGTTTATTGAATGAAAATTGTTATCAGCTCCAGATGTCCCACTGTTGTTCTTATTTCTAGTACATATTCCTTATCACAACGAATAATAGGTAATTTATAACAGTTCTTAGCCGGTTCGTAGGGTACATTACCATAAAGCTTAGGAGTGCTTTTGTAATCAAAATTGAATTGATTAGGAATTTAATAGTCATGGTAATAAGTATCTGGTGCACTTTCAATTAAAGATTTTAGCAGATTTATATTTTATCGAATTAAGCACTTGATAACGATTTTTTCGTCGATTGATATACAACAGTTTTTAGAAAAGAGAAGAAATTATCAGAGGTTATTAAATAATTAATAATAATAATTAAAGGTCTAGCAATTACAAAATAGAGATAGGCTTTCTTTGCACTGAAGAGTTATTACAAACTTGACAACACCTAAGTACAAGTCATAATTTCACCAAAGACCCACTTCCTCCTCACTAATCAGCCTGCCAATCTTGTCATACCAAAACTGGCCACAATATACGGCCCCTGACAGAAGTTCTTGGGGTCGATAAGGCAGTGCCTTCGGTTTCCGTATAAAAGGGCAGTCAGACTCTGGGAAAACCATCAGTGGTAAGACCTATCCAAAATGAAACTGTTCGTATTCCTGGCTCTGGCCGTGGCCGCAGCCACCGCCCTGCCTGCTCCGGAGCAGAAGCTGACCCCCGTGCCCGTAAAGGACGCCAAGATCCAGGGCAGGATCACCAACGGCTATCCCGCCTACGAGGGCAAGGTTCCCTACATCGTGGGTCTGCTGTTTAGCGGCAACGGCAACTGGTGGTGCGGAGGCTCCATCATCGGCAACACCTGGGTCCTGACCGCCGCCCACTGCACCAACGGCGCCAACGGAGTGACCATCAACTACGGAGCCAGCACCACCACTACAACAGCGGCAACCTGCACAACGACATCTCCCTGATCCGTACTCCCCACGTGGACTTCTGGAGCCTGGTCAACAAGGTGGAGCTGCCCAGCCTCAACGACCGCTACCAGGACTACGCCAGCTGGTGGGCCGTGGCCTCCGGATGGGGTGGCACCTACGATGGAAGCCCGCTCCCCGATTGGCTCCAGGCTGTCGACGTCCAGATCATGTCCCAGAGCGACTGCAGCCGATTCTGGTCGCTGCACGACAACATGATCTGCATCAACACCGATGGAGGAAGGTCCACCTGCGGAGGCGACTCCGGTGGCCCCCTGGTCACCCACGAGGGCAACCGCCTGGTGGGAGTGACCTCCTTCGTCTCGGGAGCCGGCTGCCAAGCCGGTCACCCCGCAGTCTTTACCCGCGTCACCGGATACCTCGACTGGATCCGCGACAACACCGGCATCTCCTACTAAGTGCTTGAACATTAGAAAAGTTTTTAATAAAATTGCAAAGCGAACTTTACAGCTGTATTTAAAAGATCTTGGACTTAGTCAGACTTACTAACATGGAAGATTAGTTCAAATTATTTTACCCATATATCATATTTCCCTCGAACAGTAAACAATTTTTTTTTTGTTTTAGGTTTTATTTTGGTTTGTTGGCTTTTAACAAACTATCATCAAATATTCCATAATTCTTATAAAAGAAATTTTAGATTCAAGAGAGAGAGCGAGGGATTTGTGGAGCGAACGAGTTGTTTATTTAGCATCACTTGTGTCTTTGTTTGCTCAGCGTTTTTGTCTGGATACGTGACACTTTCCAAATGGAATACGGTTCTATTTGGTTCAGCCTGCAATTGTATACCAAGATATCTCAGGTCGAGGCAGTCTTTAAAAGTCCGTCTTGGATCTCAGTTCTGTGCTCACAATGTCGCATCCACACGGCTCGTTTTTGGGAATTTTCCTACTTCTTATCTGGAGTGGAGCTGTGAAAGGGGAGTTTTACTCATCGGTGGATAGTATGCAGGATCTGGCACAAGTGGAACAAGAGCTCCTAAATGCCACGCGTTCGTACTTGGAGGCACAGCAAAACCAGCTCAACTTTTACCGCAGGTAAGACCATATACTACCATATTATATAATCATGGTAAAAATTCCAATGCTTGATAGATATATGGAGCAAATAAAACGGGAACATGAGTGGGCCGTGGGGCAGTTAAAACTGGATGAGTATCTGGGACACCCTTTGCACGCCTTTAGATTGATTAAGCGATTGGTTCTGGATTGGGATGAGCTGATCTTTGAAACTATAATCGAAAACAAACCAAGAGAAGGTGGGTATAATAGTTTTCTAAGTATCGCATTAACATTAAATTCCTTTTCCCAGATTTCCGTTCATTTGTGGATGCTTTAACCAAAGATTTGGGTTATCCCGATCAATCGGAGCTCCAGGGAGCCATCAAAGGTTTGGCTCGGCTTCAGAGGGTTTACAATCTTACTACCTCCGATTTGGCCGATGGCGTTATCAACGGCTATCACTATGACTCGGAGTTACAATGGCGCGAGTCTTATGAAATAGGGGTACAACTCTTCGATCTTGGGGAGTACAAGAGATCCCTTGAGTGGCTCCAGGTGGCCTTTGTCCTTCTGCGAAATAGTCCTTTAGAGGAGAAGGATGAGAATGGGTACTTATCAGATATTCGGGAGTATGCAGCCATGGCCAACTTTGAGTTGGGTAATCCCAAGAGAGCCGACAGACTTTTGCAACAGATCCTCACACCTGAACCAATACATTCTGCCCAACAAACGCGAAAGTATCTGGAGAGCAGAGGGCCAGGAAAGAATGTCGAAGAGAAGAATCCCTCCTGGTTTGCCAACTATACTAGGCTGTGCCAGGGCAGAAGATTACCAGAGAAGGGGAGTGGTAACCCGCTAAAATGTTATCTAGATGGAAAACGCCACGCCTACTTCACCTTGGCTCCCCTGCAAGTGGAACCGGTTCACCTCGATCCGGACATCAATGTATACCACGGAATGCTGAACTCCAAACAGATCTTGTCCATCTTCGTGGAGGTGGACAAGGAGGAGATGGTTCGATCCGCCGTCGCGGGAGAGGGTGGGAAGCGCACCGTGAGGGATCTCCGCGTCAGTCAGCAAACCTGGCTGAACTATACGGCCCCGGTGATGCAGTCCATTAGCCGGATAATCCAGTTTGTGTCCGGATTCGATATGGCCGGAGCAGAGTCCATGCAGGTGGCTAACTACGGAGTCGGGGGCCAGTACGAGCCGCATCCGGATTACTTCGAGGTCAATCTGCCAAAGCAATTCGAAGGGGATCGCATCTCCACCAGCATGTTCTATGTGGGTTCCTGACTGATATCTTCTCTCAAATATTTCTAATCATACCTCCCGCACTTCAGCTTTCTAATGTGGAACAGGGCGGGTATACTGTCTTCACCAAGCTGAACCTCTTCCTGCCTCCTGTCAAAGGAGCCCTGGTCATGTGGCACAATCTCCATCGATCCCTGGATGTCGATGTGCGCACCTTTCACGCCGGCTGTCCAGTTATCGTGGGTTCCAAAAGGAGTAAGTACAAAGGGTTCCGAAATTGTCGAACATATTTTATATTTTTTGCTATCTTCTATATCAGTTGGAAACATATGGATGCACTCGGGCTTTCAGGAATTCCGGCGACCCTGCAATCTCACCTCAGATAGCTACAAGTCAGTTGCCTATCGGAACTAAGAGTAATTCATATCTTTAATAAATAAATATCTAACTTTAATGAGAGGTTTTCTTATACAAATTGAAATCAGTCAAAGTCCCTGTAACGCAATGAGATTTCCTGGTTCCTCTGAAGATCGCAGGGTCTTACTTTATCCTGATGGCGTTCTCGAACCCACACATTGGCAACTGGGGATATGGACTTTGTCATAAAGGGTTTTTTCTTTGCCATAGGGATCTACTTACTCCACTTGCTGCCCTGAAGAACTGGACAAGCGGCGTGTTTGGTTCGAAAGTCCTGGTCTCCAGAAGGATGAAGATTGTACCAGAAGAGCAGGCTGCCCAATTCCGGGGTCACCAGGAGGGGCAGAAAGGGAAAGGCGGTTCCTCCACCGGCTTCCACATCGGAGAGCTGGAAAAATATAGCATAATATAGGTAGTCCCCAGAAAGGGAGAGAGGAACTCACGTAATATATGCCCGTGGCGATGCGGTTGCCATGCCAGTCGCCCTCCTGGTAAACGTGATTTTCGGGGAAGCTGTCCCAGTGGGGCTCGTAGTGCCCACCGATGCCATAGTTGGCCACCTGAAGATCCTCGGCGTAATCCATATCCAGGCCGGAAAAGTCGGCCATGTGCTGGCTAAGAAGCTTGGTCACCGCATTACGGGAGTAGTTGAACGAGGCACCTTGACTGGTGCGAAAGGCGGCTGCCGTGGATCCTCCACTTCCTCCCAGGGAGTACACAGTGGATCTTTTTATCCTGGGTCGGGCAGTCCTCTGCAGGAACTCCGCATCCCTAGGGCTAACCACCTGGTGCAGCTGCACCACCAGGGGATCGAGGTGCAGCTCCTCCAACTTGAAGGGGGCGTATCCCAAGCGACTTTTCCTCAGGCGACACCTGAGACTCCGCTGCTGCGAGGGAGGTGGAGTCAGCTCCCCACGACACACCTGCTCGTACATCCGGAACTCCCGGGACTCATGGTAGTCCCCCGGCCTCCGGGCCGTCATGTGGAGCAGCCCGTTCTTGTCCCCATCCGTGATCAACTCCTCCAGGTGCTGGCGAGCCTCCAGGAGGTGACTCCTCTGCTCCGGCTCGACGGACAGCACGTGGTTCACCAGGCTCAAGGCACTCTCGTGGGCACCCATCTCCCGGTGGTACTCCACTACCGCCTCCATGAAGTCCAGGGAGGCGGACTCCGAGCCGTAGGACTGCTCCACGAGCAGCTGCATCGACTGCTGCAGCCACGGAACCGTGTGGTTGTAGTCCCTCAGGGCGTACAGGTGCTGGCCGAGCACAAAGCAATCCTGCCAGGACATGGCCGTGCTGAAAGGCAATCCATTTTTATCACAGTTATAGCTCCCAAAGTTCGCAGTTAAAAAAAAAATTTAAAATCAGGTTCAATTACACCAGTTACACGAATATATAAGAAAACGTACTCTTTTAAAATTCATGACAAATTGGAAATCATATTCGATATAAATCAATTATGTTAATTGCGTAGGAAACTGTAACATTTTTAAAGAAAACAAGAGGATACGGATAATGTATGTTGTTTTCACTGAATCAGAAGTAGCATTATATCAGCCCAGTAAAGCAAGCCACTAACAACTTTTTGGGTCACTTCCTTTCCCACTTAAATAGATTGGGTAACCTTTCGCAATCTTATGTTCACATAATGAAACGGCACCCGGAATAAGAAAATATAATCGCTGTCTTGTTATGATGCTACACCAAGTCAAATTCACATAAACCTGAAGGTGTTGTTAAGGTAACTACAATAAATACTGTGTTAGTAATTAAGCTCTACAACATGAGTTAATTTAAATACTACATTTTAGTATGGATAATAATAAACATTTTAGCTAATTGTTGTTCTTAGGAATTCTTATGGCTCACCCATATTTAACGCCATTAAGGATTCCACTGGCCAATTCGGCCACATCTAGTTGATAAGTCTGCTGAAGACGAGTAAGAGCTATTGCCGAACCCACGAAATCGTCCTGCGAAGGAAAGCTCAGATTCTCCTTGTGCCTGGCCATCATCTCGAGAAAGTCTTTAATATTAGCAGTTTATATATTACGTTTAACTTCAAAATGAAATTAATAACCTACTTAAGCGACTCGAATCCGCCAAAACACTGCCCTCAAAGGTCTCCCAATCGCTGTGAAGGCGTTTAATCAGCCGGAATGCGTTCACCGGATTGTTGAGGTAGTCATCGATTCCATCGGCGGCATTCAGGTGTTCCAAGCGGATGGCGTCGATCTCACTGGGATCATAAAAAAGTAGTCATTAATCAGACTCATAACTGAGAGAATTTGCATAACTTAAGTTATTTTGGATGAACAAACTATACCTTAAAATTGTCTGGTTATTATACACTGGTCAAATGGAACACCAGCTTGAAAGTAAAATTGATTGGTTATTTTAAGCAGACAAATTTAAGCTGTTATTATAGGCAGCACTAAAAAATAAATGGGAGGTACCGAACATATTTATAGTTAATAAGATAAAAACCAGGTTAGAGAGCCATTTGCACTGGTAAAAATCATTGTTTGCTCTCATTTTAATACCTTTGACAATATTGTGTTAAATCTTTAATTAAAATACATTTGTTACCTGTCTTTCAGAAATCATTCTTAAATAGAACAAATCTCCTAGATAATGTCTTTTCAACAGTGGTAATGGATCTAAACACCTGCTGATTGAAACCATTTTTCAGAATTAAAAATAATTTAAAAATATACAGCAATATTTATACGAAAAGAGTGTTATCGGTGGGTTACCTGTTTTGTATAAATAACGCATTTATTTTCACGCCTGTCACCTGCATTGGGGCTCATTTAGAAGTCATTAAGTTGGGAGCGGAACCATTAACCCTATCCAGAATCTAGTTCTTTTGTTCGCAGCTTTATGGTACGAATGATAAAGTGGCGGCACTTGTTCCCAATAAATCTATTTTATTTCTTGTCAAAAGGGGACGCCTTCCACAGTGACTGACCGAAAAGTATTCAATTGTTCCTTACACGGTTCGAAAGTATAAAAAATACCAGTTTTCTCCGACGGCTGACTCAGGTCGGTATAAATATTATACTTTACAATTTGTTAACGGTTTCTTATTAGATAGCCGGGAATCCGGTTTGCAAAATGCGCATGATAAACAAAATAATTCTGTATATTATGCATATCTGAAGCGATGATTGCACCATATCTCATGAACCGCAAACTGCCAAATCGATGACACTTATTTCTGAACAGCAAAATAAACTTGCGGCAATTGTATCTTAGATCCGCCGGATCGAATCGATCGACATGGATAATGGTAGCGATACAGCCATCGATTTTGTCGCACAGTTAATGAAATGCAAGGTTCCGAAAGTTGTTGGCCAGCGATTTGTGCTTTATATGAGCCATTAATTAGTATAATAACCGGCGCAAATAAATCAAGCCAAGAAATAGGAGAAATTAGCAGACCATAAAATAAATAGCACCCGGCGCATCTAAACAAATGGCATCGGTTAGGGAGTTAACTAATCTCCAATCGGCGACAAATCGCTGGGTTGCCATTCACTTTTATGGCAACCGGTCGGTTGTTGGGAATCAAATCTGCATACTTGTAATAAAATCAACTGCAGCCAACTACACACCCGACCTCAATTAGCCAAAAACCAACCAACCAGCAGCTGAAATTCTGCCCACCCGAGTTCGAGATATTAATTTTCAATTTATTTACGTGGGAGCGGTCATCCACGCATTCAAAATGAAAAATTCATAATCGAATTCCCGCTGACATCTGTCAATTGTTTTCATGTTATTGAATCGTAGATTTTCTGACAATTGTGTAAATATATGACAGGGAAATTAATGGAGTTTGCAAATTAAAATTGGCTTGTGCGCGAAGTAACCATCTCATTTGCATCTGATTAAAACTTACCATCCGGACAGAAGGCAAAAACCAGCATGGATTAGTAGGCTCAGCAAGAACCTGAAAAACTTTCCATTTTTATCTGGGTTCTTAAAACATTCTCACTGGCCACTAATCTCCAAATTCTTTTTAATTGAGTTCATTCCACTCTCATAAAATTTACATATTTACTTAAGTGGAATTTAATTAAGAACTCTTTTTACCTAAGGTTTTTTTGTTGACAACGTCATTAGGTTACGGAAAACACTCTTTTAAAATTGTTGTTCAATTTTTGTTCGAGTTAGATATAGATTCAACTTAATTAGAGGTGTTTCACAACATAACTTCCTTTTTAATAATGGGTTTGAAATTCTAAAATTGTTTACCTCTGTAGTGCCTCAGCATGTTGGTTAATTTCATTTACATAATTTTGCAGTTCTGCCAGGAGTACGACCTCCGTTTCGAATAACTTTTCCAGACCCGAGGTGGAACTGTAATACTCGGCGTGGCAGGATAGCACCTGCAGCACCGAAAAAAGGATCAACTTTGCCAAAAACATATCACTTAACCGATGAAATGACACCGGCTTTCGAACTGCGGATCGCGGTTTTTGCTTGCTACTCGGGCCGCGATTCGTTAGAAACTGATTTCGGTCGCGATGATCTTTCAAAGATCTGATGAGAAAAAGCTCGGGGCGTTTGTGATGAAGCGTTTTAGAGCTGCGGGTGCGGATCGAGCAGTTCCAGCTTTCGAATCGAATGGAACGGAATGTCAGAACCTCTGGTCAAAGAACTGCCCGCGGGGGCCAAGTTCTGCCTGAATGGACCCCACAAAGTACTATAAAGTGGGCACTCAGCGAGGTTCAATAAACTGAATCGCGCTGGGAGTACATTTACAGAGCCCAGAAGCTCTGGCAATTATTCCAGGAATCATAACTTAACCGTCGGAAACATATCCCACTGACTTTCCCAGACGGAATTTCCCTTGCTAATTACTTTCACTTTGCTGCTCGCAGCAGTTGTCACTTCACAAGCCCACAAAATATTCAAATCGCCAACGAAACTTTGCCCGTGAACTTGTTTATGCAAATGAAGCCGGCAAATGAATACGCAACTGGCTTTTTCGGCTCGTCTGAAAGACAACTTTTGAGTTTGTTTTGAGTGGGTTCGGAAACCACTCAGACCCCTTAACCCACTGAGCTGGTTCAGGCCAAAAATGAGACACGGTGGGGTTAACTCGACTATCACAGCCACAATCTTTATTTGATTATCTCGTACTCCAGCGAAACCTCGTGATCCCGGAAAACGTCGCAGGGTCGGGCAAAGGTCTGCGTGACCTCGTGAATCCAAACGTTGCCAACTGCAAAGATCAGGCCGAAAGTAATTACATTAATGGCGGGGGTCAACTCGAGAGCCACTTCAGAGGGCCGGTGCGCTTTACGCGCATTTAATTAAATTAACAATCGAGTTCGTACCTGCTGAGTTTTATAAAGAATGGCAGAGCTTGAGCTTTAAGTGGGCTGGTACTTAACTTTAACTAAAGAACTTACGAAAAATTTAAGCTGGTATATCAAATGCGCTCTATCTAGTAGAGGAAGGTATTTTATCTTAATCCAAATAATCAAAATATAAGATATATTTAATTATATCAGCATTTGATATACGCTTTGAAAGGATAGCTTTTAAATTCTTTAAAATTTGATCCCTGATAAATAAGTATAAATGGTCTTATGGTAACGTCAGTACCCAACAATATATGGGAATAAAAAAAAGTATTTGCATTATATGTTTATACCATAGACACAATCTAATCTTTAGAAAAAGCTGAGCCAACTATAAAAGTGGTAGCTACAGGGTAATCCCTTCCAGGATAACTTTATACGTCCTAGGTGTTTAATTTTCCCTACAAAATCCTCAAGTTATTAAAATATATATATCCTATATATATATCTATAAGGGAAATCCCTCCAGGAGAACTTACTCCACTTGCTGCCCTTGAGCACGGGACAGCCGGCGTGTTTGGTGCGGTAGTCCATGTCCAGGGAGCGGTGCAGGTTGTACCAGAAGAGGACGTTGCCCATCTCCGGCTTAACGGCGATGTCCAGGAAGGGGAAGGCGGTGGCCCCGCCCTGCTCCACATCCGACAGCTGAGAGGGAAAGTAATTGCTCTTACTAAATCATACAAGGGATTAGCCAGATGTCACAACTCACATAAAATATGGCAGTGGCGATGCGGTTGCCCTCCTCTGCAGGATAATGACTGGGGTCCCGGAAGAAGTCCCAGTGCGGTTCGTAGTGGCCACCCACGCCGTAGTTGGCCACTTGGAGCTGCTCGCAGAAGGTAGTGTCCAGTCCCGTGGCGTCCTTCAGGTCCCGGAGCATCCCCACCATGGTCGCATGCGATTCGTACTCCAGCCAGGCATTTTTGCTCACCCGGAACGAGGACTTCTTGTGCTGTCCCCCTGGAAGAGGGTTCACTGTAGAGCGACGCATGCGCGGGACGGCCATTTCCCGGAGCTGTGAGATCTTCCGGCCACTCAGCATGTCGTGGAAGGTCACCACATAGGGATCCAGGCTGTGCTCCTCCAGCTTGAGCGGCGCCAAAAGGCGGTATGGATGGTGACCCCGGCTATAACGACAGCGGAGTTCCTTGCGAGGAACAGGATTGACCTCTCCGCGGCACACCTTCTCGTACTGGGCGAACTCCTGGGACAGCTGTGGATTGAGTTTGGTTAGTTAGTTATCCAAAATGCTTTTCAGAAATAATTGTTTTTAAGACAAAATTGAAATATAAAAAAATGGAAATCGAGAAACTACATTTCTTTTCTTTAAACTTACGTTGTAGGTATCCGAGTGCTTGGGCAGGTAGACATCATCGATTTCCTCTTGGTGAGCCGTTCCTTTGTCTCCGAGATGCCAGTTCCTTATTCGTTTGGGGTCGAACTGGAGGACCCGTTGGCTCAGTTCGTAAGCCGTATCGAAGTCGCCTAAAAATCGTATGAATGAGTATCCTCCACACCTGGCCAAAACCTCTAACCACCCTTTGCTCACCCATTTGGAACAAACTCTTGGCCGTCGCCTCCATTTTGTTGAGGGTAACGGCATCCGGTCCGCTGGTGGGCGTCGAGTGGGTGTGGGCGTGGCTGCTGTGACGTCGCAAGCGCTCCATCGATTCCCGTAGCCAGACCTTGGTGTTGTTGTAGTCCTCCATTTCAAAGAGTTGTTGACCCAGCTCGAAGCAATCCTGCCAGCTCATGTCCGAGCTAAAAATAAGGACTGAAAGCGTTGTAATGGATTTTTTCAACTACCATATGCATATGCCCTTTAAGAAGTAACTAAGCTTATTTTTTTACTGCACATTAATCAAAATTTATGTTGGTATGATAGGGGGGTAATATGTAAGTTTCTTTTGATGCACAGAGAGCCGTATGTTTGGAATGATATGAGATTCTGGTCTCATCTCTCTATAAATTTAAAATTAAAAATTAAAATGTTTTGTAAACAATTTGGGTTAGAAGCAACTCTTTTTTATTTAATCTTTATCTACATGATTCTATTCTTAAAATGTTCCCCATAACATAAGCACCCTAAAAGTCAGTAAACCCCTGAAAGCACGATTATAACCATTTCGATTGGGCTCAAGTAGGAAGGGGAGCTACTCGATTGAACTGGGATTAGTTGGGATAGCTCTGTATTTTAAGCCTGGCTGGTTATTGCTTATTCGCCTCTGAGGTCTCACCCGTATTTGACGCCATTCAGGATTCCGGCAGCCACCTGGGCCACGTCCAACTTGTAAGTGCTCTGCAGGCGAACAAGGGCCAGGGCAGCCCCCTCCACGTCCTCCTGGCTGGGAAAACTCAGTCCGTACTCGCGAGTTGCATTGAAGTCTATGTAAAGAAATGGTTATAAGCATGATCTCTTCCTTGAGACTTCTTCATTGAAACTCACTCATTTCCTCGGCCATCAGCTGAACTCGTCCCTCCATCAAGAACCAGTCCGTGTGGAGGCGCTTCATCAGGCGGTACACATTCACCGGATTGGTCAGATAGTTCTCCGTATCCCCGGCAGCCATGGAGTGCTCCCTTTCGATGGAGGACAGCTCTCTGCGGATTAAACGAGTTTCGGTTCTCGGGTTAGCCTACCTACCAGTTTGGCCGATTTATGAGTCTTGTGTCGTCATAGGAGCTCACATACTCGTATTTCGGCTTAATTAATTCTAATTTATGTGTGATTCTATATTCATAATAGTTTTTATGATCGCTGCGATAAGAAACAACTGAGCGAAATCAAATAAAACGAAAGCGAAATGCCAAAAACAAAGGCGAAACCTGATAGCCAATACTCGCGGATCTGAGCAACTGTCAACGATGATCCAATATCGTTGGCTAATACTCTCGAGATAAGACTAACTACTCTAGATTTGCTGACAGGTGGACATGCGCGATAACGCCAATTTAAGATCACTGGCGTGACAATCTTCGCACATATAAAGCAGACACAAAGTCTGGCACCTCGTGTTTCGGCGACTCTGTAAACTAGTTCTCGAAAGGGCAATAAAATATTAATGGATTTGCTAACGACAATGGCCTGTAATTAAATTAGCATTATTTCAAATATCGTGATCTAGCTAAAACTATTCTTGTGTCTCCAGAGTTAAGGTCCGACCATTAAATATCCTGTAGTTAAGGAGATTATCTAAAAAGATATCAGACTACAACCCTTTTTTGTTGCTGGCTTGTCCAAAAAAACGAAAGTGTCATGCAGCTATTATTGTTAACATGTTATTTAACTGGTTAATTGGTCCTATTCATCTGGAAGCGTGACTTGACAACGCTTATACGGGTTAAGTTCGGTTTCAGGTTAGCTGTTGTATTTAGGTTTTATATTTTTAATAATTTTCAGGTTCCTACCTCATATCATAATATACCTAAGTAAGTCTTCTTTAACTAAAGCTTCGATTGGAACTCTTGGTTTTCCTTCCCTATTCTTCTTCTGTATCCTTTAAAACCTAATTATACTCACCCCTCTAATTGTTCCAGTAATGTCCTGATGCCATTGACCTTTAGCCTCAGTTCCTTTGTGAGATACTCCTCCGTATGCAAAAGTTCCTCCAGACCCGTAATGGATGAAAAGTAATCCGAGGCCAGAGATCCCTGAACCAGTAAGGACATCAGTCCCACCAGCAATAAAACTATCCTCATTGTGTATTTCGCGGAAATATCCTTGCTATATACGGTAATACTATAGAAAAAACCCTTGCGTTATCCGGTATTCCCTTGCAGATCTTTAAGTCCGCCGCCTTTCGCGTCTCGAGGCGAACTGATCTTTTGGGGATCTTTGAGAGATCTCGATTTTAAGGTATACCATCCCCAAAGATGCGGAGAGAAAAACCGGCGGCGAGAATAAATTTCGCATGTGCGAGATGTCGATGTCGAAAACTAGTTGCGGTAGCCTATGATTTGAAGAAAACTGTTTTATTAGCCAGTTCTGTGCATGTTTCGATCCGGAGAAGTTGGTTTGTTTTGCGGCCCGTCGTGTTTTACGGCTTGTTTTGCGCTGATTTACTGATACTTATCGGCCGAGCTCGTTTTGAATACTAAATTCTAAATTCGACTCGGACTCGGATCGGATCCGATAGGCTTGGCTATTGTCTTTAGCTCGAGATTAGACCAGACCGGCATATTAATACGGGCTAATTGGCCGTTAGATGTTTGATATTTAAGACTGCAGTTCGACCATTTAGCAGCTTTTTGGCTAGGCCCGATTAACAATTCGCATCCGACTGGGGCGACATTTCATATTGGTTTATGGATCGGATCTGCCAATTTCGAGCAATGATTTGTTGGTAAGCCGACCGCCATAACTCGCACTGTTTTGATCCGCAATCTCTGCTGATTTACCGACTTCAGAGGCGGCGTTTTAACACACTTGTTTTATGGCCCACTGTTTGTTTGTCGCCGGTTTCCTCTTAACAACAAACAAACAATTATGGATCGCATTGAAGCCACCCATTGCAGCCATTGTTTGCCCAGCCCATTCACACCAAATGGCCGAGTGGCCACTCCCAGTGGGAAACAACGCAGTAAAAGGCAGATTTTTAATCAAATGCCAAGGTCAACTTTATTTGATTCCCCCGCTGGCAATTAATGCATATGCAGCACATGGATCGGAAAACCAGGGAAAACCATGGAAACCCATCCAGCCACGTCAATTGAGTCCTGTCCACGCCGCTGCATGCGAAATTGAGATGAATAAAAATGGAAATTAGCAAAGGGGAGGTATAAGTCGACTAGGAGGTACCCTAAAAATATCTTAAATGGACAACATTACAATAGATTAAATTTAAAAAAATTAGAAATTTATAGAAAGAATAGAAAGTGATTGCATAGTTATTGTGTTTAACGAATTGAAAACTAATAGATCCCTTCTGCAGGGTACCTCGCATCACGTTATGCTGACATTCGATGACAAGGATGTTGGGATGTGGTAAAATTGAATCCCGGCACGCTCCACGTCACCTCCTCCTCCTCCACCCACTCCACACCCCACAACTTACACAACTGGACGCCCAGGAGCACAGGACACACAGCCTGGCCACTGCGGTAGTCCCAGTCGGATGAGGAGCCTCCGGCGGATCGTGTGTGCCAATGGAGCAGGGAGCCACGTGGGACATTCACGCCGAGCTCCAGCTGCGGAAAAACCACGGCCCCTCCCATTCCGGGTGCCTGCAACTATAGCGGAATTTAATTAGTGACACATTAGTCAATTAATTAGGCTTTGTTGGTTAACCACGTACGTTCAGCATGACACGTGCCACATTCCCGAGCTGCGAGCCATCCTCCAACTTGGTGGTGTGCTCGTGACCATGGCGACGTCCTGTCCAGGGGCCCAGGTCCCCAGTCTTGAAGCCCAGGAGATGACTAATCCTCCTCAGCTTCTTTTGGGCCAGTTTGGATAGCCTTAGCGGTTGATAGCTCCTAACTGCTTTGGTATCCCCCTCATCTATGAGTTCCAGTAGCTGAGCGCTTTCATTTGGGGTCAGAACATCATGGTGCAGTACGATATACGGGTCTGAACTCAGGGGTTCCAATTTGGAAGGCTGGAGAAGCAACCAGGGTGTATTTCCATTCAACTCACAGTGCCTGAAACGACTTCCTGTGGTGGATTCCTGGGTGGCCCCGCGGCAAAGCTCCTCTATAAGAAGCTGCTCTGCAGATTTGGTTTTCTGGGAAGGATAAGACAAAGTTTCAGGTGGGCATGCATATCATTCTCATCTCGAGAATTTCGAATTTATTCCCTAATTCTCATGTTTTTTATAGCTTATTGCCAACTGAGTTTTACTTACTTTTGTCTTCGACTTCGTACGAATGCCCTTGGGCAGTTCCTTCTTGGCCATGGCCTTTTCAATCTTTTTCTTGGCCTTTTGAATGCTTTGGTTCATCGGCAGCAGCACCAGAAGCTCCTCGGCAGTGGCCAAAGCTCGGGCGAGTTCCCCTAAAAAAATAACAGAGAGCGAAAATTTGGAATTCTGGCGGGGATATTGCACTAAATCCCAGGTCAACCCACCAGCGCGGTATTCAATGTTGAGAGCTGCCTCCAGGATGTGCACACGACCACTTTCCCGCTCCCTCTGCGATTCTGTGGAATTTTCCGAGGCGGAGGGCAGCTTTTCCAAAGCCGATTCTAGCCAAAACCTAGCCACGGAAAAGTCTGACTTGCGAGCCATTTCCAGGCAGTCGCCCCAGGACATGGCGGAGCTAAAATTATGCAAACAATTTTTGATTGCTTTTCCATTTTCCTTGTGATTTTCTTTTAGTTCTGCTCACCCCAGCTTCAAACCATTGACCAGGCCCAGGGAGAGGCTGTTGGGGTCCAATTCGTAGACAGACTGGAGGTGAAGCAGGTGGCTAAGGGACTCCTCATAGTCCTCCTCGCTGGGAAGGGTAAGGGTGAATTCTCTGTCAGGGGAAGTCTCTTCTAGGCTGATGAGAAGGGTTTCATTTGCCTGCTGCTCCAATCTTGGCCACACACTCTCGAATCTCTTGAGAATACCGAGGACATTCAGGGGATTGCCCATGTACTGCTCCACATTATCCACCTGACTGTGAATCTCCGCGATGGCAGAGGTCTCCCTTTGGATTTCCCCGAGCTGAATCTCCAACCGTTCTATGTAATCACGCAACTCGTCGATGAGCTGAGTTTCGGTGGCCAAAAGAGCCTCCAGTTGCTCCTCTCCCCTCGTAAAATCAGCTCCAACAACCGTTTCCGTCAGCAAAAACAGCTGAATTAGCCACAAAACACTGAAAGCCATAGGCATTTGCATAATTATATGACTGCGATTCTTTTTTCAGTCTTTTCGTTATTCTTTTTGCTCTTGGCCCTCGGGTCAATGACTAGAGATTTTTTCTATATTGTATCGAGGTTCGATACGAGCGCAGAACGTTCGACTGACCGGCTTGAATCGCGTGGCTGAACTGAGGCCAATCCCCCATTTTCCATTTATCTTAAGAAAGTGGTGAGTCTACTTTTCTATCTATTCGATTGAACTCTGTTACTTGACCTCTATGGTGAATTTAAAAGATCTAGGTATGTATCTCTTGGATTTATTAACTATCAGATGAGCTATTTATTTCAAAATGATAAGAATGTTATGTTTATTTTATTATTTGTAGGCCTCATTTTTCCTCCAAATCTAGGAACTTTCCTTCATCGCTGTTGAGTCCACAGGGTCGGCGAAATTCCTGTGCACCCACATGGAACCATTCATTGCATACTGAAATAAATAACGTTTATAAGAAAATATGTATTATTAATATTGCTTTAGGTTAACATGTTAAACTTACTCCACTTGGATCCCTTCAGAACGGGACAACCCGCATGCTTTGTTCGAAAGTCCTTGTGCGTGGATCTATGCAGATTGTACCAGATCAGAAGACTGCCCTTCACAGGAGGAACAGCTAAGCGGAGAAAGGGAAAAGCAGTGGCACCTCCAAGAGCAACATCATTGATCTAAACAAATTAAGTACAATTAACCAAGACAATTTATTTTAAATAACCAGAAAAAAACTTTTTTTTTGAAAATAGTCTAAAAATCAGATTCTTTGCGAGTGGGACTTTAGGATCATATAGACCGTTTTTAAGTCATAACTTGAAAAAAATAAGACTCACAGCCAAATGATGAACTGTTTTGGACAGCTGATTTCCTGAACTAACTATTCCAGTCATGTGCCAGCTGATTTTAGGCATTAAGGATTTTGGTCAAATTTTCACTTTTTTATAAGGGGTAACATCAGACTTTTTTGCAAAAATGGGTCAAAAATAAATTTTTTTTAAATTTAATGCCAATCGATAGGGAATGTTTTTACGAGTTCAACAAGGTATAACAATCCACATTTAGACAATTATTTCCCATTATTTTGGGTAAAAAAGAGCATTTTTTTAAACATTTTTTGTTATACCATTGAGCCAAAGGCACATAAAACTCACATAGAAGAGAGCAGTCAAGAGGCGATTACCCTTCCAACCAAAGACAGCATGACCATCGTCCTGCGAAAAAAATAACATTTCTATAAGCTCTTCATCGGAATAACTGGATAAACTCACGTCCATAAAGTCAAAGTGCGGCTCATATTGTCCACCGATTCCATAGTTGACCAACTGCAGTGGCTCCGCACTTTCCGTACTCAAACCGGTAACATCCTCCAGTCGCTGTTTGGTCTTTGAAAGCCAGGGATTAGACTCATACCAAAGCCAGGTGTTTTGGCTTGTGCGGATCTCGGTTGTGGTGGAGTTCACCGATTGACCCACTTTCGAGCGCTCCATGTGACCCTTGCCATGGTCCATGATCATTTCCATTTCACTATCCATCAAAACTTCATGAACATAGGCCACATAGGGATCCAGATTTAGTTGCTCTATCTTAAAGGGTGAAATTGTGTAGTAGGGAACTTCTTGGTGGCTTCGCCAGCACTTGAGATTCCGCTGCTCTCGAGGAGATTGATGGAGTTCTCCTTGGCAAACGCGTTTATATAGCTGGAAGCTTTCCTTTTGTTCCTGATAACAGAGGTTTTTATACAGTTTTAGTTAGCGAAACAAATACTTACTTTTTCTGTCGTCTGGTTTACATCCACTGGCTTTGCAGGACCTAGGATTCGCTCTTTTGCCAGTATACTTTCAAAAAATATCTTGTTTTTCAGAGCCTCTTCATGATCAGGCTCCCAATCCAGTATTTCATTATTGAGTTTGTGTGCCAGCTTAAGGTTGCCCAAGCCGTTAAAAGCAGGTGATAGCTGCTCCAAAATCTCGACATCGCTCACATTGGGTGATATAAAATCCAGAGGTTCCCCATGCAATCTTTTCGTGGCCTCCAGTAACCATTCGGAACCATAGGAGTACTCCTTATTCTGACAGAGATTCTTTCCCAACTCAAAACAGTCACTGGCGCTCAAAGAGGTATTCAGATGATTTTTCTCCCCGGGAAGAACTCCTTTGGCCAACTGATCCGTGGGCAGTTGGTAAATTTTCTGCAGTCGTAAAAGTCCACGAGTGGCGCCTTGCAGATCCTCCTGTGTAGGTCCCTTGAACTTGATCTTCTGCAGAGAATCGCTAAGAGAACTCTTGTAGGTCTCGAAGTTACTAGTTTGAAAGACAGGATCAAAGACATTGAACTTCCAATCGTGGACGAGGCGCCTTATGGTGATAAAGGAGTTGAGGGGATTGCCAAAGTATTCTTCCAGATCCCCACGATCATTTTGCAGTTCATCTATGTGATCCAAAAATCTGTTATAAGAAATTAGGTATTATATAAAATAAACTTGATATATTTTTAGTTAAGCTACACCTTTTGATACTATCCTGTTCTTGCTGAGCCCTTTCAAGATATTCATCGAACTTTTCTACTATGAAAGCCTCCACGTCAAGCAGTTTCTCGAGTTCACTTATAGCCGAGTAGTAGTCCCCACTGACGGAGGTAAAGAAGAGCACCGAAAAAATAATACTGAGCGGAAACATTCTCACTGTTAGGAGTTCCATTTCATTCTGTTCTAGGTTTCGTACGAAACGATTTGGAGACTGCCTGTCTGCCATGAGTGCAGCTAAACAAATATTGACACAATTGTTTTTTCGGCATTTCTAATGGAAAGTGTGGATACAAAAAAAGTAGGTGGGTCTGAGCATCGAGTAAGAAAGTTCGGATTGGGCATACACGTTCTATATGGGTCACGCCCACTCTAGCGCCCAAAAACGTAAATAACGCTAGGAATTGCCAGTCAACACATTTATTACGACTATGTAAAAGTGTGAATATATGTCATTAGTTATGATGAATTTCAATACTCTCAGTATGTTTCTCTTGGATTTCTTAAGAATCATATAAGGTGTTTATTTCAAAATGATTATGTTATGATTACTTTATTAGGCCTCATATGTCCATCAAGTCGTCGAACTTTCCCACATCGCTGTTGAGTCCACAGGGTCTCCTGAATTCCTGACCACCCACATGGAACTGCTCAATACATACTGAAGGAAATAATTTTGGTGAAGAGAACATTTAATTTTTGTGAAGTTTAACGACAACTTACTCCACTTGGATCCCTTGAGAACGGGACAACCCGCGTGCCTTGTTCGGTAGTCCTTGTACGTGGATCTATGTAGATTGTACCAGATTAGAAGGCTGCCCTTCACAGGGGGAACAACCAATTTGAGAAAGGGAAATGCAGTGCCACCTCCCAGAGCAACATCATTCAGCTGGAAAAATAAAAAAGATATATTAACCATGAGGAACGAACCCTGAGGAACCAGAATATCCCATCATATTTGGAAAAACTGCAAATTAAAACTCACATAGAAAATAGCAGTCAAGATGCGATTACCCCTCCAGCCATAGACACTATAACCATCGTCCTGTAAGAATTAAGAATTACTATAAACTGTCTATTGGAAAAACTAGTTTAACTCACATGTGTAAAGTCATAATGCGGTTCATATTGTCCACCGATTCCGTAGTTAATAAGCTGCAGTGGCTCGGCACTTTCAGAACTCAAGCCTGTGAAATCCTCCAATCGCCTTATGATGTTGGAAAGCCAGGGATTCTCCGCATGCCACAGCCAGGTGTTTTGGCTCGTGCGGATCTCGGTTGTGGTGGAGTTCACACCTTGACCTATTTTTGATCGCTCCATCCGACCCTTGGCATGGTCCTTGAACATTTGCATTTCACTTTCTGTCAAAATTTCATGAACATAGGCCACATAGGGATCAAGGTTCAGTTGTTCCATTTTAAAAGGTGAAATAATATGGTAAGGAGATTCTTGGTGGCTTAGCCAGCACTTGAAATTCCTGAGCTCTCGAGGAGATTGTCGGAGTTCTCCTTGGCAAACGCGTTTATAAAGCTGGAAGCTTTCCCTTTGTTCCTGATAACACAGAATTTTATACGATTTTAGTTAGAAAATCAAAGATTATACTTACTCTTTCTGTCAACTGGTTAACATCCACTGGCTTTTTCGGACCAAGGACTCGCTCTTTTGCCAACTGACTTTCATACAATATCTGGTTTTCCAGAGCCTCTTCATGATCAGGCTCCCAATCCAGTATTTCATTATTGAGTTTGTGTGCCAGCTTAAGGTTGCCCAAGCCGTTAAAAGCAGGTGATAGCTGCTCCAAAATCTCGATGTCAGTCACATTGGGTGAGATAAAACCCTGAGGTTCACCGTGCAATCTTTTCGTGGCCTCCAGTAACCATTCGGAACCATAGGAGTACTCCTTAATCTGGCAGAGATTCTTACCCAGCTCAAAACAGTCACTGGCACTCAAAGAGGTATTCAGTTGATATTTCTCTCCGGGAAGTACTCCTTTGGCCAACTGATCCGTGGGTAGTTGGTAGGTTTTCTGCAGTCGAAGAAGTGCGCGAGTGGCACCTTGTAGATCCTCTTGACTGGGTCCCTTGTATTGCTTGATCTTCTCCAAAGAATCGCTAAGAGAACTCTTGTAGGTATCGTAGTTACTAGTTTCGAAGACTGGATCAAAAACATTGAATTTCCAGTCGTGGACGAGGCGTCTTATGGTGATAAAGGAGTTGAGGGGATTGGCGAAGTATTCCTCGAGATCCCCACGGTCGTTTTGCAGTTCGTCTATCTGATTCAAAAATCTGTTATAAAGAACGAAGTCCTTGAAAATATATTTTAAATATTTGTAATAAAGCTAAACCTTTTAATATTAGCCTGTTCTTCCTGAGCCCTTTTTAGGTAAGCATCAAATTTTTCTATTATTAAAGTCTCCACGTCAAGCAGTTTTTCGAGTTCACTGATAGCCGAGAAGTAATCCCCATTGACTGAGATAAAGCAGAACACCGAAAAAATAATACAACGCCGAAACATTCTCACAGCTCTGGGTTCCATTTTTAACTGATTTGGCTTTTGTTAATAATATTTTAGGGACCGTCTGTATTTTAAATTCAGCATTGCAGACATTGACACAGTTGGTTTTTCTAAAAGAAAGTGAGTCTGTCAAAAAAGTAGGTGGGTCTGAAAAGTTTCCGCTAAGAAAACCAGAGCTCAACACGCTTATTGTGTTAAGATAAACAAATATAACTGAATTTAAGTATTGTAATTGTAGGTGTGGTGATTTTTTTTCGTCTGCACTGTATAATAAAATGAAATTAAAGCATGAAAAGTTAATTTTGAATGGTACAACCCATATTTTAGCTATGTTCCGGGATCTCTAGGTCAGTTTGTCTCGAGATGGCTAATGTAAATAGTTTACTTATCCTATTTTGCTCAATAGTTCTAGTTTCCCTAGGTGAAACTAAATTAGTAGAGAATAACTATGCGGCCTCTATATTCGATATGGGAGATCTAATTTCCTATGAGCATTACCTGCTGAATATATTACAGAACTTTACTAATGATCTGCAAAAGAGAGTGGATACAATAGAGTAGTAAGTACGGAAACGTATTTCAAGAGCGACTTTTTAATATATAATTCTTAAAGCTATTTGGAAATGGTGGGGTACGATGAGGAAGAGGAGCTTCCAACCGATTCGATAGAATCTTTTCGGATCATTCGTCGTCTTTACTCGGACTATTCAAATTGGGTATGGTATTTGGAACAGCAGCCATGGGAAAGTAAGGGATCCGTCAGACCTAAAAAGGTGTTCTAATACATTCTTTTTATTAGCTTATGTGGAGCATATAATTGCTATTGCTCCGCAAATGCCAACAGAAAAGGACATTGGGGAGGCCAACAGGGGCTTGAAACTCATTCAATTGGTCTACTCCCTGCCAACTCGTCACATGGCCGATGGAGTTCTTCAAAACATCCATCATAAGTAAGCAATATCTATTTTCATAATTCCATATTTATGTATTTTTTCCAAGCACCTCGCTTAATGCAATGGAGTGTTATACCATAGCCAAGGATATGGCCAAGAATAATGAACTTAAGTTTGCCGTGGAATGGTTAAATGTGGGTGTGGAAAAGTATATGGAGGACCGGGAAAATGAGGATTTGTATACCCAACTGGGAGTGCCCCTAGTCAGTTTCTATGAACTTCTTGCGGAAATTGAAAATGCACTAGGTGGGATTTGGTAGATATCTATATTTTTTTTACTTATACAATGTTTATATCTTACAGGTTCTAGAAATTTGGCCATGAATGAACTGCAAGCTGCCCTAAAGGAGTGGCCGGAAAAGGTCAGTCTCTCAAGAGCGCAATCTCGTCTGCAAATGGACATTCGCATCGGCAAGGAGCCAAAGGAAAAAGTGAGTACTGCAACTCTTCAATCTCGAATTCCTTAAAAACTTTTCTACAAATTAGAAAGAAATCATAACTGGTGTCTATCAACAATGCTGCACTTGGGAGTGTCGTCCCAATAAAAAACTCTATTGCTTGTACATAACCTCATATTTCCTGCGATATGCTCCTCTGAAGATGGAAGTTTTATCCCTCGATCCCTTTATGGTGATCTATTACGATGTGGTCTCCGAAAGGGATATAGTCAGCATTATAAACCTGTCAAAGCGTGGTCTTAGCCGAGCCAAAACATATGGCGCTGATGGAGCCCTTAAAGAAGACCCGGATCGCACCACCAAGGGCTCCTGGTTAAATGATGAGCACGAGGTGATACGGAAAATGACCCAACTGACTCAGGCCATGACCAATTTCGCCCTCGACAAATCGGAGGACTTTCAGGTTATGAACTACGGAATAGGCGGGTACTACGGCATACACTTCGACTTTTTGGGATACTCGAAGGTAAGAATGATACCATAACCTGGCCACTCTCCTTATATTATTATGGATTGTAATGCAGAAGGACAAAGAGAGGTTACCGGACCGCATGGCCACAGCCATATTTTATGTAAGTAATTCTGGTTTAAAAAAAAATCTTTGATCATTCTCAAAATATTCATCCAAAGTTAAGCAATGTGCCTCAAGGTGGAGCCACTGTATTTCCGAGTCTTAACGTTTCGATTTTCCCCAAGAAGGGCTCTGCACTTATTTGGTATAATCTTGATCACAAGGGTGACGGCGATAGGAGGACAGGCCACTCAGCTTGCCCCACCATAGTGGGTTCCAGATGGGGTAAGAACTTAAAACGTATTACCTAACATACCATCTTAAATCCATTTTCGTAGTTATGACCAAGTGGATAAGCGAAGAGGAGGAAGTTTTAGGAGGCCATGTTTGAAAAGCATTTAGCTCAATTGTTTCGAATATCGGTTTAGCTCTTAATCAGTCAAATATAATATTTAGGTTTATGTATACAAAATTAATTTATTTTGTAGACCCTGCAATAAAAAATCTTGTTTGTCACGCTACTTTTTTACAAGCTTTTCTACTCTCAAGATAATTATTGTTTCAGTATCGTTTCAGCCATGAGGTTAGTTGTTAGATTTTTTACTGTTTTGGTGGCAATAATTTTTCCGAATTGGGTCTGCACTACGAAGATGGACAATTATTTCGACCTCGATTGGCAACTCATGACAGAATTGAAAAGCTATTCTGAGGACCTGCAAAACCATATAAGTGTGTTAAATCGGTAAGTAATTATTATTAATTCATGTTTTATAAATATATATAACTACTTCATTGTATAGCTATATAGATGATAGAAAATCTGAACTAGCTAAAGTGGGAAACGATCGTGAAAAATATTTGGGCAACCCTATTAACAGCTACTCTTTATTGCACCACTTGCACTTTGATTGGCCAATTTGGAGAAAACTAATGGTGAGGCCTTTGGCTACAGGTAAAATACAACAAGAAGTTCTATAAATTATAGTATTAAACCAACCCTCCTATAAAAATTCCAAGAGCAAGTCGGTGAGATGCGAGAGTTGCTTTCCAAGATTCCAACGAAAGGTGAATACATGGATTCGATCAAGGAAGCTATAGATTTTCAAAAACAGGAAGACGGATATGTGAATTCTCACGAAGGAATTTTAGGACAGGAAAGTGAAGTTTTAGAAGAAGGTGCACTGTTTAGGTAAGAAAATGCCAAATGTTCTCAAACAATTCATACTAATTTGTGTACTCAAATAGTCCAATGGAATCCCTGGAAATCGCTCAGTATGCGTACGACCAAGAAAACTATGAACAGGCAGAAGACTGGCTTAATACTACTCTCAATGGTTATACAAATCTCGATCATGAGGAAAGGGAAGTTTATAAAGTTATAGTCCCTGTTAGCGAGAGTCAGGTGCAGGACCTTTACGAAAAAGTGAAGGAAATTAATAGGAGTCTACGTTGAAATCGTACGTGTAACTAAAAAGTTAAGTAAATGATGTCAACAAAAATTAAAAAAAAACTTCATTAAATTTATTTATTTATTTTAGTTATGGCTTAAGTATGACGAATTTTTTTAGCGATGATAACAACTGTGTCCATCAGTCTTCAGTTGAGATCGTAAATATGAAGACTGTCCTGATTTTATCAGTCGGCTTGGCCTTCGCTTACATATCCCTTACTAAGTCCGAGACTCGTCCTGCTTTAACCATTCTAAAGTTAATACATTTTCTACAGGTTAATGTACATTTGGTGGAGCACTTAGATAAATATATAGAAGCGTTGGATACGAAATTGAGAGTGATCAACGAGTAGGTTATTAATTAACTTACATGACTGGCACTCTAGTCAATCCTTTCCAGAGCTCTTGTCGACTTGGCGACATATCACATTCAGTTTGAGAATGACAAATTGGGTATTATATCTAGTCCAGTTGGCAGTTACTCCTTGATACATCATATGCAATCGGATTGGACTCACTGGCAGTTTTTCCTGCAGGAGGATCCAGGAAGAGGTATGGGAGTGTCTTTTACTATAAGTCTTTAATTACTCTGGAATCACAGATGAAATTAAATCCCTAATATCCAAAACAACGTATCTACCCGAGGAACAGGATATATCAGAAGTCTGTCAGGCCATTTCCAGTATTATGAACGCTAATGATTTGCTTCCCAGAGACATTGCAAGAGGTTTCTTCTTAGGAAATCAATACAAGTATGTTATCGACTTACTTTCAATTTAAAAAACATTATGATTATCTAGGAATATTTTTATTAGAAACTCGTTGTCTCCTCTCGATTGCCTTCGGATGGCAGATTACAGTACAGATATTAAAGACTTTGAGAAGTCCAAGCAGTGGCTTCAGGTTGCTATATCCATTCTAGAAAATTCTAACCATACAAAACCTCTTTTTCCACTTCCGCACTTGAATACCGTTGACTTATACCTAAAACTAGCAGAAGCTTATGTGAGACAACGTAAGTTATATCAACATTACAAAAAATATTTTGGTATTATTAATTTATCTTATTCCAAGGAAACTGGCATACAGCTCTTGAAACTGTGGAAATTGCTCTGAAGTTAAATCCTCGAAATGCAAATCTGCTTAGAATGCAAGAGCACTTAGGCTTTCAGATTCTGCTTGATCCGCCCTCTTCTACGGATTTCAATAATGGAAATAACAAACAAGGGTTTCAAAGAAGCAAAAGCCTTTATTGTTTTTATCACGCTAGGAGCGGATCTGCAAACCCTTTTCTCGCCCCGAACAAAGCAGAAATTATCTTCATTGATCCATTGTCTGTAATTTACCACGATTAATGGTCATCAATAGTCTAAAATTTTATTTTTGGTTTCCGATTCAGGCAACGAAATCAACGAATAATACGTAAATCTAGAATATTAGTTTCTCAATGGATAGAAACTCTTCAGTGTTTGATTTTGAATCCATGCATGGCCTTCTAAACTCTTGTCCATTGTCCTTAATAAACTTGCTTACAACTGCAAAGGATTAAGAAACAAGTTAGGTTAAAACAAGGAGAGGCGCTACAGTCGAGTTCCTCGACTATCAGATACCCGTTACTCAGCTAAAGGGACCAAAGAGAGATGGAGACTAATACATTTCAGTTAATAGTTTTTTTAAGTTAAACGGACAGACGGACATGCCTAGATCGACTCAGCTAGTGATCCTGATCAAGAATATATATACTTTTTGGGGTCGGAAACGCTTCCTTCTACCTGTTACATACTTTCCGACGAATCTAGTATTCCCTGTTACTCTATGAGTAACGGGTATAAAAACCTAAATTGCATAATAACAAACCCCATTTGGAACCCACGATGACGGGGCAGCCAGTATGCATGGTTTCTATTTGGTGATTACCCTTGTGGTCCAAATTAAACCAGAAGAGAGCCGATCCGGGCTTTGGAAAAACCGTGATGTTAAGATTTGGGAAAAAGGTAGCCCCACCTTGAGTGACATTACTCAACTGTGGGAAAGAAATTTGATAAGAAAACTTATGGCTAAGCATATTATACTTGCATAAAAGATTGCTGTAGCTATTCGATCAGCGTTTCCTTGGAATCTGACCTTGTCGGAAAGCTTCAAGTCCATATGCGTCTCAAAGAAGCCACCTAACCCATAGTTGATGACCTGGAAGAACTCCGTGTGGTTCATATCTAGACCAGTTGCATCTCCCAAGCGTTCAGTTATTTTCAAGGTCGCCTTGCTAGAACTATTTTTATACCAAACAGATTTTGAAAAGCGCGAAGAGCCCACTACAAGGGCCTGCACTTCGCCATCGTAATAGTTGGACGGCAAAATATGTTCCTTGCTAGAAGATCGAATTAAATCACTTTCCTTTGGGGAGATCATGTCATGAAGGAGAGATATGAAAGGATCAGTTGAGAGTATCTCCGTTTTGATGGGTGCCAGTCGCAGGAATGGGGAAGTTACACGGTTGTATAAGCAATATAGTTTTCTAAGTTTTGCGGGCACTTCACAGCGACCACTGCAGCAGTTTGGTAACTGTTCCCGAACGTAAGCTTCGTCTTCCTCATCTTGTTTAAATGTATCTGGTCTTTTTTCAGGAGACGTAAGAAGTCCTTTTTCATATGCCTGATATTCCTGGTAAATTTGCAGGTCGTGGGGCGACTCTTTCAGGGCCATTTGATAGGCTTCAAAGGCACCCACATAATTCTCTAAAAGAAAATAAGGAATGTCAAAAGCTCTGCTGCCTCCAATTTATACTAACCCAGTTCAGCCCGCACTTGTCCCAGTATATTATAAAGATCCGCCCTTTTAGGTCCTCTTAGCAACTGCATTTCCATCTGAGAACCTGGTCGATCATAGGCCTCAATGCCTGCCATAATCCATTGCTCCGCTGATGGTAAGTAATTTTGATGTATCATATCGCGACCCAATTCCAGACAATCAATGGCTGCCAGTGAGGAGCTAATAGTCGGTTAAAGCTTTCACCTTAACAAAAAATGCTATACACACTTGTACTGCACTCTATCCAGCAATCCATTGGCTATATCACTCGCCAAAAGTTGGTAAGTCCCCTGCATTCTGGTAACTCCATCAGCGGCATCCATAAAGTCATGTTCCCGTGGCATCGACAGATTTCGGGACTGCATAAAAGCAAGTTGTTCTGAAAAAGAGGATTTTATGAACTGAACTGAAACTTTAGGGAAATTACGAACCCAAGCCCACAGGCTTCTTCAGATACTCTTGCCACATCAACCAATCAGCCTGCATATGACGAATGAGGGAGTATGTGATGAAAGGGTTTTTCCAAAAAGACTTTCTTTTCAGTAGCATTTCCTTCATCTGATGAATTCCCCTTCAAGGCTTACATAAGTTGTGGATTAATTTGTTAGTCTCTCGCACTCACCACCTAATGGTTTCGGCTCTATGGGATAGCTGATCCTTATATTTTTCCAAGTTGCCAGCCAGATCGTCTTCCATTTTCAGTAACTCATCCATATTGACCACAGATCTTGAATGTCGCTGTTCAGTACTCTCTTCCAACACCTGAGAAAGACCTAGCCCCCTAGAAAGAATACCCACTAAAAGCAGTCTATAGATCAGCATTTTCGGTTTCCGTAAACTGAAACTAATATAGGAAGGTAAAATTCCCATTTATTTGTACACACATTAGTTTTACTTGAAGAAAATTTTCCATAGCTAATTAATTATGGACTCTTATAAAAAGGAGTAAATATTAGGATTATATTTCAATACAATTATAAGCATTATTTTTTTTTTTATTATATAGTAATTTATCTAAATATAAACATACAAATTAAATTAAAAGTTTTTCAGCAGAGTTCAAGTACTTAGCGTTTGAAATCGATTCAATGCAGGGCCTTTTCAGCTCTTGTCCCATATCTGATATCCACTTACTGATAACTGCAAAGATTAAACCAACCTTATATATACAAAAATTTCCAATTCTATGTATACAAACCCCATTTTGAGCCCACTATGACTGGGCATCCTGTGTGCAGGGTATTCATGACGTCATTCCCCTTGAAGTCCAAGTTGTACCAGAAGAGAACCGATCCTGCCTTGGGAAATACCGTGAGGTTTAGTTTTGGGAAGTGGGTGCCACCTCCTTGGGGGACATCATTTAACTACAAAAACGTTTGATAATAAATATGATGATAGAGTTTTTAAAAAATCCAAAAATACCAACATAGAAGAGTGCGGTAGCTATACGATCTCGGGTTCCGTTGAATCTGGTTTCGTTTGAGAGCAGCGTATCTATATGTGTCTCGAAGTAGCCGCCCAGTCCATAGTTCATGATCTGGAAATACTCCGTATGAAACATATCCAGACCAGTTGCTTCTTCCAAGCGCTCAGATATCTTCAGGGTCGCGTTGTTGACGTCGTTGGGAAACCAAACAGACTTGGAGGTACGAGAGCTGGAGACCTGGTATTCTTCTTTAGGTGCATCGACCGAGGCTATGGCGGACGGCAGCAAGTGCTTTTTGCTGGAAGATCGTATTAGAGCACCCTCTTTTTTGGAGACCATATCATGTAGGATCACCACGAAGGGTTCAATCGAGAGAATCTCCGTTTTTATGGGGGATAGCCGCAGGAATGGGGCAGTTACATGGTTGTACACGCAATAAAGCCTCCTGAGTTGTCGGACAACCTCGCAGCGACCACTACAACAGGCCGGTAAAAATTGAATGTCGTCAACCTCCTCCTCTTCCTCTTCTGGTTCGAATTCTGATAACGTTAGAACTCTTCGTTCCAGGTTTCGATACTCCATAAATATTTCTGAGTCATGGGGCGAGTGTTGAAGAGCAGTCTGATAGGCTTGCAGGGCACCCTTGTGATTTTCTATAATGAATGAAGCTGTCTTCCTTTTCTGAATCCCTTTGAGCTTAAAATTTTTACTCACCCAGATACTTTTGCACCTTTCCCTGGGTTCTATAGAGTTCTGCTTTTAGTGGACCCCTCAGCAACTGCAGCTCTGTTTGGGAACCCGCCCGATCGTGAGCTTCAATACCTGCAAGAATCCATTCCTCGGCTTCTGGCACCCACCATTCATTCAACAGATGTTTAGCCATCGCAAGACAATCAATTGATGCCAAGGAAGAACTAAGAAGTCGACAGAAATAATGGACTACCTTGATAGAGAAAACAACACTTACTTGTATTGCACACCATCTAGCAAGCCCTTGGCTACGTCATTAGTTGCCATCATGTATGTCACTTGAAGTTTTCTTAACCCTTCAGCTGCATCGAAAAAGTCATGGTCCTGTGGCAACTTAGACTTTATTGACTCTATGTAAGCCAGTTGGTCTGAAAAATATATTCTCAAGAAGGATACCTACCTAGAATAGAATTACCAACCTTGACCAACTGGCTTTTCGAGGAACAATTGCCACATTAACCAATCCGATTGCATGTGACGAATTAGGGAATAACTATCAAACGGACTGAACACATGTTTTCTGTAAGCCAGGTGCCTTTTCTTCATCTGGTAGATTCCCCTTTGGAGCTTACAACGTCTTAAATGCCTTGATTGTTGGTATAGACGGGTTTACTTACCATCGTATGGTTTTAGCCTTCCGGGAAAGCCACTCAGCGAAGTTTCCCAGATTGCTAGTCAAATAATCGTCCAGTACCAACAACTCGTCCATAGTCACCACAGATCTTGAATAGCGCTGTTTTTTATCTTCCTCGAGCACCGGTGCGGAACTTAGGGTCTGGGAAATTATTCCCAGAAGTACTAAACTGCCGATCAGCATTCTGAAGCCAACTTATCGCAAGGAAAGGAAATAAAACTATCAGAGCTCGTAGTTTGTTTTTTCATAATTAAATTTATTCGGGTATTAGTTTCACCTTACACTACAATATTTTTTTTTGTGCTTTTTAAAAAAACGTTAACGTAAACCTTTTATAGTCACGTATATTAAGAACATTAAAATAATAATAAGTTAACTTAGCATAATAGGCTAGATAATAAGCCTTTCCATGGATGACACAAATCTTGTGTTTGACCTTTCTTTGACACAGGGCCTTCTGAACTCTTGTCCTTTGTCGTCTATCCACTTGCTGACGACTAAAAAGTATAAAATGAGCTCACGAGGAATAAAAAGATCTCAATTGTTTCTTTACAAACCCCATTTCGAGCCTACGATGACAGGACAGCCTGTGTGCATTGTTCGGATTTGCTGATTTCCCTTCGTGTCCAAATTGTACCAGAAAAGAACCGTTCCAAACTTCGGAAAAACAGTGATGTTTAGTCCTGGGAAATACGTGCCACCACCTTGCGGAACATCATTTAGCTGGAGGTTAGAATTGAATCAAATATTAAAACAAGAAACGAAAGTGTTCGACAATTTTACCTCTTACTCTGCGAGTAACATTTGCAACAAAAATCTAAGTTTAAATTACTTACGTAGAAAAGAGTGGTAGCCATTCGATCAACGTATCCCTCTTGGAATCGATTTTCATCCGAAAGAATAAGTCATAATGGGATTCGAAGAAGCCTCCTATACCATAGTTCATAACCTGTAAAGCCTCCGAATGGTTCATATCCAGACCAGTTGCATCCTCCAAGCGTTGGGTGAGCTTTAAAGTCACCTCATTGGCATCGCCATCGAACCAAACCGCCTTTGAAGTGCGGAATTTCCCGACAACAAAGTTGTCTGGATCGGCGGCGTTGACTGTTGCGGATGGCATTAGGAGCTTTTTACTGGAAGATCGTATAAAAGCACTCTCCTTTGGGGACACCATGTCATGGAGGAGCACCATAAAGGGATCAAGCGAGAGGATCTCCGTTTTGATGGGGGAAAGTACCAGGAACGGAGCGGTAACATGATTATACACACAATATAGTCTTTTAAGTTTACTGGGCACCTCACAGTGACCACGGCAACAGGGCGGCAACTGCATTTCTTCAATATCATCATCTGGTTCCTTTCTAATCGGGTCGGCTAGTCATAATGTAAAAGCTCTACTTCTTAAGTTCTGATATTCCTGGAATATTTCCACATTATGGGGTGAAAGATCCAGGGCAGCCTGATAAGCTTCCAAGGCTTCTTCTAGTTTTCCTACCCGAGATTTTCATTGTGAATATTATGATTTTGTATTTTTTACTCACCCTGCTCTATTTTCACTTTTCCCAAGGATCTATAGAGTTCAGCCTTCGTTGGTCCCGTCAGTAACTGCATTTCCGTCTTAGAACCTTGCTGATCCTGGGCTTCAATACCTGCCAGAATCCACTGATTTGCAATCGACCAGCGCGATTGCTTCATTAAGTGATGAGCCATTGCGAGGCAATCAATAGATGCCAGTGAAGCGCTAATAATTATTTCGGCTTACAAACATTTACCTTTAAAAGGTGCTTGAAACATACTTGTATTGCACTCCATTTAACAAGCCCTTGGCTATGTCTTTGGATAACATCACGTAGGTTCTTTGCAATCTTCTAATTGCATCAGCAGCATCCTCAAAGTCATAGTCCTGCGGCAAGATATCCTTTGTTGCATTTACATAATCCAATTGCTCTGGAAGAAGGGACACTCAACAACTGAAAATCAGCTTTAAGAGAATCACACGAACTCATTGCCTCAGGATTTTCTAGATATTCCAGCCACATCAACCAGTCAGCCTGCATGTGACGAATGAGGGAGTATGTGATAAAAGGACGGTTCCATAATATCTTTCTCTTCCTGTGCAGTTCCTTCATCTGATGGATTCCCCTTTAAGGATTAAATAAGTTCTGGTATAGAGTTATGACCTTTCTAACTCACCACCTAATGATTCTTGCTTTCTGTAAGAGCACAGCTGTGTACTTTTCTAAATTTTGGACCAGATCATCTTCTGTTTTCAATAGGTCGTCCATATTCACCACAGATCTTGCATAGCGCTGCTGAGAGGCGTCATTGTGACCCGTGCTTAGAATAAAAGAAAGAAGACCTAGCAGCATCGAAAACCTCATTCTGCATCCTACAACATTAATTTTTCTCGAAAATGTAAAACTTGCAAAGTAGTATTTTAATTGCATTTACTTGGTTGTTAGTTACACTTTAATTTATAATTTTGCATGCTTTGTTAAGACCAGACCCCTTGGCCTGTAATACAAAAAAAATAATTATAATAAATAATAATAAATAATAATAAAATAAAATTTAAGTTTTATATGATTTAATTATCTTTTAAAATAGAATATATTTTTTACTAATAATCAAGCTATCATCTTCTGCGTGTTTACAATTTCCATATATGTAAGACACACATTAGTTATTATGTAAGCGGAACCAGTTTTGGCTCAACGAACCCGGCACTTTCTTTGGTTGCGTGTGACAACAGGTTTCCTATAGATCTTCTTGACTTCTTATAGCTTATGTCATATTCTAAGGGGTCAAATGCCGGAATCAGTAGGCATCGAAGAGCTTTCGAGAGCGGATCTCAGTCAGAATGACATTCCCGGTGCTTTCGGTTCTTTTCTTGGTGATCCACCAACAATTTTGCTCCGTTTCTGGAGCGGAATTCTATTCCTCCATACACGAGATGACCAAAGTCTTTGGCTACGAACAGAAAATGCTCCAGCATATGCAGAAGTTTGTAGCTGAAAATCAGGGAAAGCTGGATTTCCTAAAAGCGTAAGAAGAATCATGTCTAATTATCGGAATTTATCTAACCAATATATTTTCTAGGCGACTGCGAGAGTATGAGAGTGAGCGAAATGAGGCCCGTGAATGGGGTCCAGCATATTTCGACAGTCCTCTTAACCAATATTTGTTAAATAAACGATTGACTGTAGATTGGCAGAGAGTGGAAAACCTCATGGAGACTTCAACAGGCGAAAGTAAGTTGTAGATTTATAGATTAAAAGTTCCTATTAAAGATTTTCTACCTCCAGAATCCCTCAACCGCCTAAGGAAGCTACGAAATCGTGAGACAATGCCCGATAAAAGTGAACTAGAGGGAGCTATAGATGGCTTACTAAGATTGCAGTATGTTTATAGACTAAAGGCTATGGACTTGGTCAACGGAATTTTAGATGGCGTGGACTATGGGTGATTATCTATATCTACTTGTCATGTTTCCATGGAACTTGATAGAGCTATTTCTTTTACCTAGCACCCAATTAAACTCGGAGCACTGTGTGGACATAGCTAGATTGGCTCTTAGAGACCAGCATCCTAGATTGGCTCATTCCTGGCTCCTAGAAGCTAAAAATCGTTTGACTGGAGGTGAAAGGGAAAAAGAACTCAAGCCCCAGATCCTGGCTCTTCTGGTGCAGGCCAAGAAGGAACTGGAGGACTTTCGGGGACTTAATGAAACCTACCATGAGTTAATCCAAGTTCAACCAGCCAGTGAGGAGCATGCCCAGAACTACGAAAGTTTTTTGGAGTCTCTAGGTGAGAAGGCTTTCCCTAACGAATCCAAGCCTATCCTGGAACATGCTGTAAGTGATCTTTCTTCAGAGATTTAAAGTCCATCTTATTTTATATTATACCCCCAGCCCATTCCGGAGGAGAATGAGCTGGTCAGTGAGTTCCAGGCCTACAGCCTTACCTGCAGTGGCCACTGGAAGCTTACTCCCAAGGAAGAGCGCCATCTTCGCTGTGGCTATGTGACCGAGACGCATCCTTTCCTGTGGATAGCTCCTCTCAAGGCGGAGGAACTTTCCCAGGACCCCCTGCTCGTGCTCTACCACGATGTCATATACCAGAGCGAAATCGATGTTATAAGGCAGTTAACCAATAACAGGCTGATTAGGGCCACCATAATGGGCAACAACAGTGCGGTGGTGTCCAATGTGAGAACCAGCCAGTTCACCTTCATTCCAGCCTCAGCCCACAAGGTTCTAGCCACCATTGATCAAAGGGTGGCGGATATGACCAACATGAACATGAAGTACGCGGAGGATCACCAGTTTGCCAACTACGGAATTGGAGGTCACTACGGCCAACACATGGACTGGTTCTACCCGACTGCTGTAAGTTGGGGAACTCTTGTTGCAATATGTGATATAATCGATTACATTTCTTACTTATCAGTTTGAGAATGAATTGGTCTCCTCTCCCGAAATGGGCAATCGCATTGCCACCGTTCTCTTTTATGTGAGTAAACTTAATTTAGGAATTAGGTATACATGGTATACCCACATTATTCCTTTTAGTAATGTGTTAAAGAACCAATACTATATAGTAATTTATTATCTATTCACAGCTTTCGGATGTAGAACAAGGTGGAGGCACTGCGTTTCCCCAGTTAAGGCAACATTTGAAGCCCAAGAAATACGCAGGTATATTCTAAATTATTTTATATTTTTTCCCTAAATTAATAATTAACTAACAAATTTCTCCAGCTGCCTTTTGGCACAATCTTCATGCCTCTGGAGTGGGCGACGTTCGTACGCAACATGGCGCATGTCCCATCATCGCTGGTTCAAAGTGGGGTATGCTCTTAAAAATATATTTTATTTATAGAATCTCTTTATTCCTATGATTTTATTTTATAGTTCAAAACCGCTGGATCCGTGAGAATGATCAATCTGACCGTCGACCTTGTGAACTTTGGGACGATTCCTTGGCCACACTCGCTCAGATTATGGAACTAAGTAAACGCAATGAGGCGCAGGCAGCTTCTACTTAAGTTAGGAATAGCTTTACAAAATAAAATCAAGCTTTAAGTGAACAAAGATTAAGTTTAAATATAAAACAAATTATATATACTCACCAATACCTACTTTCTTATGCAGCAGTTCCCACAACCTCCCCCAATAAATACACACAATTGAGTACCTGAGGTTCCGCCAGGAGTGGGAACCCCTTTCAAAAAGTTGATTTATTTGTGATCTGTTCGCTCGCTGCTCGTAACACTTCGCCAGCTAAGCCAGGACCAACACTAATTAATTGCGTACTTGCTAGTACTAGCTGGTGCCCCGCCCCGCCGCCCCTTCTAAGAGGTCGGGGGTCACGGGGTCACATTTGCCTTTGGCCTGCAGCTGTTCCTATCTGTTCCGATCTGATCATGGGTCTGGTCTGCTCTATCCGCAATATGTGTGTATTTGAATAAATTCAATAGCGTATGTCTTAAAACAAACATCCATATGTAGTTGTATAAGTAATGCATTAAATCCAGCAACAACATTTATGTAGTAATTAATTCTCTGCTCTGCGCATAATAGTACAATATAATAATGACAATAATTCTCTGCTATATGTATAAGTTTGAAAAGTTCACCGCTCTATCCATCAAAACATTTATATAAATTTCTCATCTTTTTTTTGATTTTTCTTTGATATTTTGTCGCTTTTTTTGTAGATTTTCTGGGAAAATAGTTCAGTTTGGAGGTTTTTTCGCAATGTTGCGTTTAAAAAGGACACCGAGTGAGAGTTTTTGACTATGCAAATGTGTCGTCTGTATAAGGTTTAAATTCGCTTTAATATGTCATTCAATATTTCTTTCTTTTTCGGTTTGTGGTGGGTGATTTGCTAGACTGTCACTAGTTTAGTTAGAGTTTAGTTTCAGTTACAGCTTTAGCTTTAGCTTAGTTTTGTTTGTTGCCAAGGGATTGTCTTGGGGGTACATTCATGGTACTTTGAAACATCGATATACAAATACACTGATTACATAAATATATATGGTATATAGTATATGGTGTGTATATATTCATAATGCATGACTGCGTTAAAATTTTACTAAGTTACATCAACTTAAAATTCTTGCCGCTCCGCCTGGGTTTTTCGTCGGGGGAGTTTATTGAAATTACAGTTTCTTTCTCTTAAATATACGTTAGTTAATTACCATTTTTCTAGATATATTTTTTGTACACCTATAAACATCTATATACGAGTATCTGTGCTCTGTAGTTCGCAACGCTTAAGTTACACATCGATAATAACTTTCTGTTTCCCTTTCTGAATATTTTGATATAATTGCATAACTTGCTCCTCTTCTTCGGTTCGACTTGGTATATGCTTGTGTAAATGTTTTTTTTGTTTATCTTTTAAATTGAAACTTCTTTTAACCGACCATCTGACCAAGTTTGCACTTAGATCTCGTAGTTGCGGAACTTGTTGGCCACATCGGTGTTCTCGCCGCCCCACTCACCCTTGCGACTGCCGTAGTAGAGGGCTGCCCCGCCCTCCGAGGCCCGCCGGTGGGCGGGGTTGGGCGAGGCTGCGGTCAGGCCACCGCTGCTGCATCCTGCCCCGGATCCTGCCCCGGGTGCCTGGGCAGCTGCTCCTCCGGCCTCCGGCAGCATGCGATCCTTGGTCTTGGGGGTCACCCAGTGCATGGACTTTGATTGGAGGCCACAGAAAGAGTGGGACACAAAGGCATTTAATTAGATAAAGTTCCCGCGGTTGTGGTCGAGGACCAAGGCACCTTCATTACGCGAAACCGGTGCATTGGTCCTCCTTTATTTCGCATGCAAAAACACACACGGGTACACATAGAGTTGGATGAAGAGGCACATTCAAGAGAGGTTTGCATTCGGTGGAGTTCGTCGGGCACTCAGGAGCGGGCTTATAGAGAGGCACAGAGAAATAGGAGGAGCAAGGGGTTCCATGAGGGATTTTAGATATCTAAACTACATGTTTGAATGAACACTGAGAAGTGAGGTTTAAAGAAACTACTCGTATCGAAGGAAAAAGGTATCATTTCAAAACAATAATTAAAGTACCTAAAAGTATGCAATAAATCCGTAATCCTTACACTAAAATTACAATTACCAGATAAAGTATTAGTTTTTCTAAAGTTTATTTATAATTATTTGGAATTCGGAGAAGATATTATAACAGTCTTAACAAAGGAAACCGAGCCCTTCCTTAATCTCTTTAAAATTACAAGACAGTCTCGATGACAAGATGTAATTACAAAACAAAAGTGAAAGCTTTTCCTTTTCATAATGAAATACCTTGAAAGAAACTTCTATTGTTTGCTGTCGCCCCTTGTTTATTGATTTCGAGGGACTTTTTCCGAGTCTGGGAGTCTTTTCACTGTGAAGTTTTTAGCTAGGTGTCCGAGCTGTAAATTAGAAATGCAAATGCGGATTCGGGGCCCGTAATCCCCGCCCCTCGAGGGCTGGACAATGTCAGCCAGTGATGGATGGCGACAATTTCCGCTTCGCCCGACAGCGGAAATTACCATGGAGCTCTTGACGGGCAGGACAAATGGGTGGTTTTCGGCTGGGTAATGAATAATCGCGTTAATTGTGCTACGGCAAAAATGAACTCCGGCTTGGTTTACAAATTTCATTAGGAGCGTGGCAAACAAACCAGTGAAAGGAACTAAAAAACAGGGCCAAGTGGTGACGCAGTGCAGCGGATGGAAAAGGATAATAACAAAGGATCGGAGCTGAGTTCCCTTGTGCCAGAGAGAGAGTGAGTGGGGGCCAGACAGAGTGGAGGAGACGGGTCAGGGACGAAGACTACTTCTCTGGATCGCTGAGTTCCGTGGCCCATAACGCATACCTCTTTATCCACTTTCTCGGCAATCGTGTATCTTCTCACCTGACCGACATGCTCCTTCATGCCCAGCCACTGTTTGTAGCTCATCGAGATGCCGCTGTTGCGCCACTTGTCGTACACGGCCCTCTTTTCGGGGTCGCAGAGGGTCTCCTTGGCCTCCTGTAAGTAAATGTTGTATCAAAGGTTAATATTTCATCAAATTTCAACACTGTTCGTGTTGCGGCAGAGATCGAAGAGAGCTATTCTCTATGCCCGCTTAATAGGAGGCTGGCAAACGCTGCTCTAAAATGGAAGTCTTTTTATTTCTGGTATACTTTCTTTAAATATTCTATCATTTAGGAGCCCTTGTTTCCCGTTTCTTTAGAATGTAATTACAATTCAAGTTACATTTTCTCAGTTACAATACTATAAATCTTGTAAATGTATATTTCTTCTTATATTTTTATACTGAGCAGAAGTAAAATAAAGTCACGACCTTAGGTAATTAAAAATCAAATAAATAGTTTCGTATTTCTAAAGATTACAATGCAAGGAATTTGTTTATTTAAGGCAAAGGCAAATATTTCAAGGCAATGCACGCGTCTCAGTTTTCCTGTCCCTTGGTACTTCAATGAAATTGTTGTCTAAAAAATTTATGTTCCTTGCCATGAATAATCTGTGGCACAGATTGACAGGAATTTCTCAGTTTTCAGCACAAAATGTGTAACGAGCAATCGGCTTTAATCAATTTTTCTCTGAAATGAAACTGAAGCATAATAGGGGTACCCACACACCCCTCCCCAAAGCTGATCAGCCCCATGAATGTCAGGACTCGGATTTGCTCAAGTGCAAAATAAACAGCTGCACAGGTTTCGGATGCCAGCCCATCCCAAGTTCAGATTTCTTCTGCCTTGGTCGGGCCTGCATGTTAATCAATTTCATATGCCTTGCTATAGCACACTTATTAGCATGCACACACACACAGCCTTGTAAGGGGAATACCCGCACTCATACACACTCATATCCGGAGAGGCTCTCACATATTTGCACGCTCAAGTGATTTTGATAGCCTCGGCTGGGGTTTGATATATATCTTGACTACTTTTACGGCCAGACCCAACATACAAATATAGCCACAGCTGTAGACACCGACACGCTTCAAGGGTGTTTAATACACACAAAGCGACACACTGTCAAAACACATGAGGATTTTGGAATTATTTTCAATTAAATTTTGCACAGAAAAGTGTCTGAAAGTATGCAGTGAAAAATATAACTAAGTATTTTGTATAAGACTTTCGGACTAACAATATATTGTACATACTTTTCGACATCTTCATAATTCATTTCACAAGGAAAACAATTTTTTTATGTATAACCAATATCTTTTTAGAGCCCAGCACAACAAAAATAATGAGATTTAAAAACATTTATAAGGTGCCTAAATGTATGCTGCAATAATCTGCTTTTTCGACATTTATCCTAAGGACTTCAACACACGTTAACATTGTAGCATACTTGTAGGCAGATTTTCAAGTGGCTTAAGACGTTCTTGTGTAATTTTTCCCAGTGCAGATACCCAGATAGACAGACACCCACTTATACACATGCTCGATTGAGGCTCTGAGATTTCATCGCCGGCCTGCTGTTTTATTGTTCCGGCCGCTTTTCGGGCCCTGTTTACATGATAATCAATTATTTCACTACCCACTGATTATGTGGGTCAGCAAACAAGGTTCAAACCTGGCGAGATACCGATGGAACAGGATAACCCAAAGACCTGGCGGTTTGTTTGTCTTCAATTAGGGCAATCGTTTGTTGGCTTTTTATGGAAATAAAATTCGAGGCCCTTGGAGAGCGGCAATTAACAGTTCGGAAGAGGTTCATCTGCACCTGACAAGAATCAAATCGCAATTTCGTATTCCGATCCTGTCCCCTAATCCCTGCCAGCTTGTTTATCCTTTGGTTATTATAGCATCCCCTCTGTATTTTTTGACGGCCCGGGGGATTTAAAGGGACAGCTTGACAACTGGAAATTGTGTTGTAAGTTGTTAGTCGAATGCCTGATGATGAAGTCCCGGCTCATTTGCATATTCCTCGGGGGAATGCGGGCTGTGGCATTTCCTAGAAATACCGGCCTTTGAGAATCTCAACGTTTCATTTTAAACGCTTCATGGGCTCACACACACGCTTTTTGTTTTGTGGGCCGGCCATAAAGGTAAGTCCTCCAGCATATCCTGGCATATTTACGAGCTCCGCACACATGCACGTCCAATTTTAAGAGCCGTAAATTGTACGGCGCATTCCTGCTCCGGCGGACAGTCATAAGTATGATTACGACTCGGCAGGGAAATTGCCCCAGTCCAGGACAACCGAGTACCGAAGTCCAAGGACCCAGGACCCTCATGCATTTTGCAGGCCGGGGGCTTCGTGTTTCGCCTTAATTTGGCCCTTTGTTATTCCAGTGTGTGAAAACTTCATGTTCGACGTGGAATGGCACAACATAATACATCAACAACCTGTAGGGAACTACAATAAACTGAATTGCTGGGCTTAACCCACTGTTGAGTTCCCTGAAAGCAACTTAATGCTCATTGAAATGCATTTCCTGGAAAAGCTAATTGGAGTGCAGACCTCTCGATGCAAATTCCATTTTGTTATAAACAAGCCTTGTATACATTCTTCAATATTATCCTGGAAAATCTATCTTAAAAGGATTTGCCACTACAAAGTTGAGTTCTTGAGAAGTCTTATGAATCGAAAATATAGCTTTCTTCATTATTTTCTTTTGCAATAACTAGCTAACATACATTTCAAAAATATATTTAAATATATTATTGAATATTCATCTGAACCATACCACTTTTAGGCATTTAACTTTTTTTTTGGCCCAGCTCACAATGCACGCTTTTTGCTCCTCTTAAATTAATAACAATTCACTTACATTACCTGTCAAACTCTAATTTTATTTTTACATTTTCCCCACCCTTTAAAGCGAATCATCCCCCATTTTCACCTCCGGCATCCAGCACTTTCCCCACATCAATTTGATTTTGTTTTTAGCCACACATTAATGAGTTGTCAGGTTCCGACACGCCTTTTTTCCACCCCCCGAACGCCTTTTTTTCGCTTTGATGGGAAAAATCAATAAAGGTTTTCAAAAAATATATTTCGTATGGGTAATTTATTTTATCTCATCGTTGCCGCCTTGTTTTTCTTTTGTAGCTCGGAAAATTCAATTTGAGGCCGGGGTGTTAGTGTGTGTGTGTGTGTGTGGGACACTGAATAGTGTGTCTGTGTAAGTGGGTTAAGTGCGTGAGTGTGTGTACGTGTGCAAAGGGCAGCCATTGTTTAATGCAGCTTAAAACTTTCCCCAACTGACAGACTCGATTTTGAATAGATGCGTTCGGTTGACTGGGGCGCAAGCTAATTACGGAAACTATCAAGGGGAATATGAGGGATTTTCAAGGAAAACGCTATCCGTTTTCTCAAGCAACTTATCAAGATGCGAACCAGAAAGTTTTCAACTGAACTTGAGCCATTTGTGTGGCTGTAAAAGTCCACCAACTTCCGCAGAACTCAACTTTTCACTACGTTCTCCATTTCCACTCATATCTGCCTTTTTGAAACTTCTTTAGATTCTACCATTTCCGTAAACTTGGCTGTTTTATAAGTTCAATAAAAAAGCAGACGTTAATCTAACTATTTGAAATTCATAAAACAGAGTATCTTGAAAGGACTTGATTTGGTGTGACTTATTAATTTATTATTATATTATTATCTTATACTTCGGCAAGAGAAAGTTTGTTTTTAAAACAATTTATGTATTTTTCATTTAACTGATTTTAATAATAATTTTTTTAAGTGATTTTGTTGTCTTTTAATTATCCAATGTATGCTTCTCAGAGGTGAATACACGGATAAATTTCTCCCAAAGAATTTAAACACGTCCGAAGTTTTTCGCTACCCATGATACAATGTTTAAACGGAATAAATATCAGGTTTAAACATCTTTTAATTTTAAGCTCGCTCCGGCAGCTTTCATCTTTCAACATATGGCCCACAGGCTGTCAAATTTACAATCCACCCATACCTCGCACTCCAAAAAAAACCGCCACACCCCTGGAAACTTCATTAAATATGTAAAATGCCGAAACGCTTGCCTTTTCTTTATTTCAGGCGCTTGTCCCTTGGATCTTTTGGGTGTTTTTGGTGTTTTTGGGTTCTTTTTTGCCTACCTTAAGCTGTTGGAACTTGGCCTCCGCCTCCTTGTCGCCGGAGTTCTTGTCGGGATGGTATTGGAGGGCCAGGACCTTGTACTCGGCCTGGATCTGCTCGGGCTGGAAGGGAAAAAGCCAAATTAGTTCACCAAGCTAAGTGAATTGCGATGATGAATTCTCTTTGCCAGCAAATTAACCAAGTATTTTGTGGCATAAATATTTAAAACGCCCTTTCAGGGTAAACATATTATACATATTACACAATACATAAAGGGGGCAAACAAGGACACAGGTGATATGCGAGTGTCTCCTGCGGCATGGAGATTTCCAAGGAGACCGCAGCTCAGGTAAAGCTGTCACTTGCAGACGAAACCCGAACCCCCTGAAAGTATCAAAACCCCCTATTCAAATCCCTAAACATCCAACCACCGAATAACGAAATAACAATAAGCAAACATTAAAACTTGACGAGCAAAAACGTTCGTGCGCAGTTGAGCACCACTTAAAGTAATAGAAAAGCTGTCGCTTTCTGCCATTATTGCGGCGGGGTAGGAAAAACTACTTCTGTTTGTATCGGGGAAAAGAGAAAAGCTTGCGGGGAAAGCGGAAAAACTTGAGGGTTTAAAATGCTGTTGCCAAATTAATTCTCTCGTCAGTGTCCTTGACTCGGGCAAAAAGGCTTTTGACACTTGGCAAACAATTGATATTAATTAAGCCTGAGTGTCTTTCGGCCAAAAGCAACAAGTTGACAGCCACCAACGATGATCTGATACCGACTTTCCCCGGGACCAGAAATAAAAATAACGATGGCGATGATGCTGACAGGGCATACTGGGAAAAAATACAGTTATATTCAGCGTTTTATAGAAAATATTTGATTGGTAAGCCCTCTCATTTACAAACTAATTTTTAAAAAATGCTTAGTTTAAAATAGGTTCTTACAAGATTTGGTTAGTAAATATGATGTGCTTTTTTGCTTAAGTAAAAATAAATTTTTAAAATAATTTTTAGAGGTGTCTTAAAGTATGCAATGGATCTTTCAGGCTTAGGTCCTTCAAACTTGAAATATTTTATTGCATACTTTTCAACACCTTTTTAAATGACTTCAACCTCTAAGACTATAAATATTGATATTTATGGCAGACTTTTCTGTGACGTTTTTATCGTTTTGTCTTTGTCTCTTATTTTTAAGTACCCATAGCAACGTTTTTCCAAAAATCCCCAGTTTCGCCCAGTGTTCTCCGCACAAAGCTGCTTGTTTATTGTCTTGTAAATGGAAATGGCTTTTCGCGCACCATCGGTCGGCGCACAAAGGACCAAGGCAGCCGCACAGAAGCGAGATGGGAATGACCAGCATGGGTCCCTTTTTATTCCATTCGGTTTCGAGTCTTTTGTTCGCGGGGGAAACGTCAAAAAGCAGCTGCCATAGAGCAAACATATTTAGGTCACCATGGTATTTGGAAAATATACATATGAAAATTCCTCTATGATGTTGACAGAATTGATGGTTCGTGGTGCATTCCCCGTGGATGTTTCTCCTCCAGCTGCAGAAATCAGAAGGTGGATTACTTGCATGCCACGCGACGAGCTCCATTTGCTGGGCCAACCGCACTGCAACGGTGCGTATAATTAATTTCAGCGCAATTAATATTGCTCATACGCCAGCGTGTACGTGGCCAAAGCAGCCGCAGCCTCGGGGTTTCTATAATTAGACGAGTGGAAGCTGTTCCACAGACTTTCGAGCTCCTGTTTTGTGGACTGTGATTCGATGCCCAGAGGAAACTACTGTCCATCTGCACTTCACCCACTTGCATTACACAATCGAATGCCCTCAATTAATAGGAATAAATTTGCACCACAGTCAACCGGACCAATTGCAATTTTCACTTGATTAATTCCCCCATCAGATAGCACCCGGCCAATTAAAATGGCCAGAATCGTTGGCAGATCTCCTCTGCAAATTAGCCCCGAAAACATTTGAAGTTTGTGCAGCTCTGGTTGGTGGATTGTTTGGCTTGCGTATGCAAATTCCCGCAAACTAATCTGCATGAGAATGGAATGGCTGCATTCTCAAGTGGGGAATGGATGCCGAGTTGAGATAATTGCCGGGGCCATAGAGATAGACTATAGATTCGTGGTGGGGCAAACAAAGGGGGTCAGTAGCTGGATCTACGTGATAAAGGGCCGACCATAATGCTTAGTCCCCTCGACTTCCCCTGAGTTTCCTCAAGCTCTCAGCAAATATTTGATTTTGTTTACATGCCCAGCAAAATCGATGCCGGGACTTCGATACTTCGGGTCCTGGAGCTCCTGCATAATTCAATAGATTCCCCACTCAGCCTGATGCAATCGACAGCTCGCAAAATTGTGTGTTAGGGCAGCCTAACCTGCGTATTTTCCGGGCCAATACATTTGATTACAACCGTCTCTCCCACGAAGTGAACCCGAAAATGTGACAACTCAAGATGAATGTCAGGAGCTCAGGAGTCGAGTCTGCTGATGGGTAAATGCCATTAAGCCGCCCGAGATTGCCTGCCAAGACCGAGCTCGTTAATTCTGCTCAGACAGGCGTTGGTTTGGCCAACAATCGGTTGGCTTAGATGGGCTCTCAGTTCTTGGTTAGCAGGGTAAACCCATGGATCTCTGGACCTCTGACTCAAACTGCACTCGATGCTCGTGCTGCAAGTGCAGCTGCGGCGGATCAACGCCAATTCTGCCAATCTACGATGGCTGACTGAGTAATTGAAACTAATTCTCAAAGCAAACCTCTCGCCTTCGAAACACACTGAGAGAAAATAAAATTGAAATATATATCAGCAATCTAGCAATCTTCTAAAAAAATAGTAGAACTATCATGTATTCAGATGAGTATTTGAGTTGTCTTTTCAGTAATTTCTTTAAGAAAAAATGGCGCGAAAATATAGAAACTAAATTTGTAATATTCAATTAGACTTAGACCTTTTTTAAGGTCTAAAATTAAAATGACTATCACTTCACTATCACTATCATTTAGTACAAATTGAACTTAAGTTGTTATTAAATCCACTTGTTTTACTATCTCCGTACATATAATACTTTTTCCGATCCTGAGATTTTTCAAACACTTTTTCTTTCAGTGCAAAGTCGCCACATGAACTATATCTGATTTCAAAGATGATTTCATGCGAAGGTTTATATTGCCTGCACGAACATTTAATAAACACTTCGACGTTAAGGCTTATAAAAGCTATCAATTTGAGCCACTGCCTCTCAGAACTGTTTCAACCTGAAAGCCCCAATTCGATTAGTCGCACTTTTGAAAACCGCAATTCGATTAGTCCCTAATTAAATTCGAACTAAAGTTTGATGAGCCAAGTGAGTTTGGCAGCAAGAGTTAGGGCGAGAATTTCAAGGAAAGGTAAAACAGAGGGGTAGTAAAGGAGGGTTGTTAGATATATATGAAATGGTAGGAGATCGGAAGGTCAACTTACCGATGAGTTCTCATCGCAATGGAGCAGCCCGTAGAAGTCCTCGTTGGGACTGCGCTTGTAATTGATTATGGCATCAACGGCGCTCATTGCGTCAGTTTTTCTTGGGATCGGTCGGGAGTATATATGTATATTTTCTATATTGGAGAAAATTGGCACAAGTTCAAGGGTGGCGATTAGTTAAAATGATAGTAGATTTGGTAACTGTTGAGTAAAAGAAGAATGATATGTCTTTTGGCCAACAAAAATATTATCGGAAAGAGTTAAGTAAGGCACTTCTTAGATTTTTTTCTAACATAATATCAACTGATAACAGATGTGAAAACAGTTTTCAGAACAAATATTCATTTTTAGTACTTCCACTTTCTTTTGGTTTGTTTTTTTTACCGGAAGATCAACAATGGTTCAGTGAATTTAACTAAAAATTGAATCAAAATCAAGGCAAGCGAAGGGAATTGCGTGACCTTCGATTTGGAACAATTAGCAGCTAAAAATAAGTTAATCACAAATGCACAAAAACGAAATCGCTTAGTAATCAGCTGAAAGATCTGGTTTTGTTTTGGTTTTCGGTTTGGGTTTTTCGTTTGTTTTGCTGCGGTTGGTAGAAGCACTTTCACTTGTTGTTTTTCCAGAGCTTTAACTTTTTGTTTATGTGGGAAAAACTTTGTTTATATATTGCAGCCCGCTCGAAATCAAATGTACTAAACATAAGCTTGTCTTGCACTAGAACACTCTCAATGTTTTTTTTCAGATTCTCTGACTCCCACTCTCTGGGAATAGCAGTCTATATAATATACATTTCCTTGGATATGTACTTTGGGTTAAGCGGTGCTCACGATGTTTCTTGCAGCGCGTCAAAAGTCGAACTGATGGTATCGCCGCCTCGTGAAATTCGCTTCGGCTTGTTTTTCCACTTCGGATTGAGTTGGAAGAGCTTGGAGATGGGAGAAAGTTCTCTCTCGAAAAGCCCCGCAGCCTCCCAGTCCCAAATAGAGCTTTTAAGCTGCTCAGAGCGGGGGCTTTAAAACATCTTTCTTTTCTCGGAACCATGGGGGGTTTTAAGACCCAGTTTGAAAGACTGACTCATCTTTGGACTTGGGTATAGGGAAATCCCCGTAAGTAAAAGATTAACAATAAAGGAAGCAGGCTTTTAAATATGCAATATTCTGAATGACTTTTAATTTAGATAGCTTAAAAAATATATTTTCCTATATAATATCACATACATTGTTAAATAAAAAATAAAATTTATTAAATAACTACATTCCTATAGCTAATAAGCTATTATAAACTTAAAGCTCTAAAGCTGTAAAGATTGGTTGTTGTCCTCAAAATTGCATCCAATCCAAAAGCCCTTTAAAAGAGCTTTAGCTATAAAACATTTCCTATAAAGTACCATGATACCATCATTTAGCTACCCATGCCCACTTGTTGATCTCACGCCCCCAACAAACCATAAGCACATCTCTCCCTCTCCAAAACAAAGTTTACAGATTTGTTAAAGGGAAATTAATGCTCCACCCGAAAAAGAAAACTCATCAATCTGCGGCCAGCTGCTCGGCCCAAACTTTTTCCCTAAATGAAGTCAAATCGAACAGCGGACGAATGCCAATCCGAACTGGAAATAACCGAACCAGAGGAGCATTGGTTTTCAAATTAAAAGAGCCAGCCGAGTGTGAAGAGAAAGTTTGCAGCAAACGGAAACGAAATTGAAAACTGTTGCATACTTTGGGGCGGAATAGGTCCTCGAAATGGAGGCCTAGACCAGGAACACCCTCATTGGACCACCCAGAAAAGCCGCACTGGGCGAAAAATGATTTCCGTTCATAAATCATCATAATGGCGAAGCAGGACCCGGCATATGTATGTCTGGCCAGAAAAACGGGACCAGAACCAAATGAAGATGAAACCATTTGACCAGCTAACGATGGTGGGTTTTCCAGGGGCGGGGTGGTCAAAATGGGGTGGTATAGAAGGGGAACCTCCTGCGGAAAAGTGCGCCCGTGCGTTTGTCCGTCACGCACACAGAGGAGTAGGGAGGAAGGGAACCAGTAGATCGATGGGGGACAAGCTATCGACTAAATGATTTCTAGTACTTAAGGGTGCTTCGTCCCTTAGTTATGTAACTTAGAAGTCTAGATCTTCCAATCTATTATATTGTCCTTGTAACAATATTTAAAAAAGGAGATTTTAACTTGTTTTGAAATCTTCAGTTTCCTACTAAACCTTAACTAAGACAATACCTCAATTATGAAAGATGTGAATATATGTAATAATGGATAATAAGATCTTCCAATCCTGGCAACTAATATACCCTTGTACCCTCCTTATATCGGGTGCTCACACACACACGTGCGCTGTGCGTGTGACGTCAACAAATGGAGCTGGAACGAAATGAAACGTTTTAATTAGACAAAAGAGCAAGGCAACTATTTATTTCCATTTCTGCTTCGACTGTTTACTGTCCACAGCCCGCAGGCAAGCTGCAGATACAGATACCAAGAGTACGGCTACTGGCACAGATACAAATAAGGAATACTTAGCAACTATTCCGGTACAACCCACTCTTTTAGCTTGCGGCCTGCAGCTGATGATAAACCTCCTTGGCCAGCACAGTTGCAATTCGCCCCCTTTTCCATTCTTTTTGGCGAATCCCCTCTAAGCTTTTCCTGAACAGGGAGAAATTATAGTACAGATTATTTGTAAAGAAGTTGAAATATATTTTAATATTGTATTTTACAAGTAACAAGATAAGTTAAATAATAATATTATTCTTGCGATAACATTTTACTTTAACCAAATATTATCAAGATACCACTAAAGATCATGCCAAAAAAACCATTTGTTTTTAGGCCTTTTGTCTGTAAATATAAAACTAATGAGTTAAAACTTGGTAACCATGAAAATAAATTGCAAAATGATTTTAAATCAACTTCTTTTTTTCCACAGTGCATTTCTGCGGTGAGTGTTGAGACCCACTTGGATTCCGATAAGCGAACATTTTCCGCAGCATGCTTGCGAGGGCAAACATTGGCAATGGCCAAAGAATTGCTGGGAAATTGCTCATTCGCCGGGTGTGCGGGGCGGACAGTCCCGAGATCCGGAGATTCTTCGCCAGTGCAGATTTATGCATACCAGCAGCAGTAGTTGGCCACCAGATTAGAGGCATTCCATTGCTCCCTTCTGTGATGCACCTAAAAGTATGCTGTGCTGTGCGAATCCTCCGTATTTGCAGCTTCCGTTTTAGTTTTCCCCCAGAATTGCATTCCTCCTGCAACCACCCACTTGGGTGTTTGTCTTTTTCTTCATTTTCCGGCTGCTGCTAACTGCATTTCGCTTGAGTTAAAAGGAAAATCGCAAGTCAAACATGTCGAGTGGCAGTGTGTGTGAGTGTGCAACTGTGTTCGAGTGTGCAGCCAGCAATCTGAACTTTCAATGGTCGATTGCCAGCTGGTTTCCCCAGATTTTCCCCATTTTCCCAGCCTCGCCTCCGACAGCTCAATTAATGGACGGCAGGCAATGAAAATTCTCCAGAAGTTGACAGAAATCGTTTTCGGGCCTTCCGCTTTTGCATGGGGACGGGGAAATCGAGGCTAAAGAGAAACTTTTCTTCATTTCCCAGAATCATCTACACATGTATCTTGGCAAGGCATTTCCCATGGTTTTATTTTCCCTCTAGGTCAGCGAGAGTCAACGACACTTGGCAAACGACGCGCATTCAAAGAAAACTCGAGCTAGAGGATCGCGGGAACGGAGGAGTACACAAAGAACAAAATATTAAGAATCGCCAATCAATTCAATATTTATTTATACAAAGTAAACAAAGAGGCATAATGGAAGATCTTGTTTTCTTTTAAATATAAAGTGATGTGGTATTGATTTTAAAATTAATTTTGGAAAGGTCAGCAATTAAATGTTTTTCATTTATTTGTTATAATATTTCAAATGAAATTGATAATGATAATTTAATAATTTAAATTTACATTACAATTTTTGTAATCTATAAATCTATATTATTTATTAGAAATTAGGTACTCAAGAAACTGTTATATTTCGCAACAAAAAAAATCTTAAGCTTGAGAATTAAATGAATTAAATTTTTCTCTATATGTTTTTAGAAATAACACATAATTTAATGTAATGGTGGCAATCCCCTTTTCTCGCTGTGTTAAATACAGGCGACGTTAGCTTGTTGGCTTATAATAAAAAGTACTTCATTTACTTTGTGCAATTTACAACTGTGAAATAAACAGGGAAGCGCCAAGGCCAAGGAGCTCCGGAAAGTGGGTGGGAGAAGGGAAGGTGCGGGAATCTGTGGATGTGGAAAAGTACCTCTATATAAGTCCGGAAAAAAGGAAGTGCGGTCACGCCTCGACTGCACATGTCACCCCTTTGTATCTTGTATCTTTGTATCTGCGCTGTCGCCGCTTTGTTTTATTACCAGCTCGCCTCCTTTCAGAGCAGTTCATCTCCAGCCAGTTTGTTTTTCCTCGCCTCTGTTTGCCCTATAATTTATTTATGCATGTATTTTATTAAAGATTTCCATGGCGTCGTTCTCGTTTTCGTTCCCATCTCGTCGTCGTTGTCGTTATCGCCGCTGTCGTCATACCAGGCCATCCCCAGTCAGTTGTTGACAAAGAAATTACTTATTAATCATATTTGAGCGCTGATTTCTCGACGCCAAAAGGATCACGGGCAGCTGGGAAGTACGTAGTCGTGCAGCAACAGATGGCGCCACAAACATAGCACTGCTTATAAATATGCTTATAGAATGGGTTCTTAAGATACTACATTTGGTCTCAATACTTAAGAAACTAAGTAAATTTGAGTAAATAAGAATTGTGTTACAATAATAGTATATAAAATATATTGAGATATGAATTTGCGGAATAAATCAATTTAGCAAATAGATTTCTTTAACTTATTAGAATCTTTTTTTTCTAAAAATTGGTTACATAATTAAGATACCATAACATATAGCACTTTTATCTAAGACCACTATCACAGGCAGTTATTTAAAGCATAGAAATTTTAAAGAAAGTTCCTAACTTTTATAAAATATAATAAAATACACACCTTTATTCAAATTTTCCTCACCCCATTTCCCTAACCTCTGCTGTATGAGTGTGGGTGTTTGAGTGGCTTTGAATGTGTGTTATCTCATGTTATCCTTTGGTTTCTCTGCTGTGGCTTGTCTGTCATCAGTGTGGTTTTCCACATGCAGACACACACATGCACAGCAGGTCCACCGCGAGGGGAATACGAAAGAAGTCTCTATTCATTACCCTGCATCCGACCAACTCCACTCCACTCCACCCTATCCCATCCCATCCCAATTCCACATAATTGCATTTGCTCATCAGAGACACGTCCATTGGATGTATCTATATACAGGCATTTGTCCCGCATCATGTCGCTGCGTTTGCCGAGCTGAAAAGACATTTTCGAGAATTAATTTTAGAATATTTCGTCTTGCGTGTGCTTGGCGCTTTGTTTACACGGCGCTTTTGGGGGCAAAATCGGGGGATTCGTTCGTTTGAAACACTTGTCTTTCATATATCTTGTGCAGTCCCCGATGCGATACAGGAAGTCCGCACATCGCTGTCAAAACTAAAGCCCCGAAATGCCAGCAATTGAAAGCGTTCGCTAATCAAAAAATCTAAATCGGAATCAGCGCAAAAAAATCAGACATTAGAAATCAGAAATCGGACAGAAACAGAAGGCAGAAGGTGAAATCACTTGAGATGGGCATCTTCCGACAGATGCCCCTGCCACAGGGCACCCTGTACAGGCCCCGTTGGCTGTGATGCACTGCCTCCACTCAGCTGTCGAACGCTGGCCAAGCCAAAGGAAAACTCTGAAAAAAGAAAATGGAAAGGAAACGGGAAA